TACATACATACATACATAGATACATACATACATACATACATACATACATACATACATACATACATACATACATACATACATACATACATACATACATACATACATACATACATACATACATACCTATGTACATGCATGCATACATACGAGAGAGGGAGAGTGGGGAGAGAGAGGCTTGGGGGGATGGGGAGGATGGGAGCAGAGGGAGGGAGAGAGGACGACAGAACACACAAGGGAGACAAGGAAGAGAGGAAGAAGGAGAAAAGGGAAAGGACAATGTCGGCGGACTGAGCCGGAGGCTCTAAAGTTATCTTAAGAGGAAGCGCACTCAAAGCTTCACAACCAAAAGCTGATGCTGCAAAAGTGCGCGCAGAGTAGAGCCTAGTACCTCGCAGCCGGTCAATGCTGTGTGTCTCAGGGGGTGTTTCCTTGTTTGGGGGGGGGAGACACACATCGGCTCTAAGTAACTGCAGGAAATTCAGCGAACACTTCTGTGGCGGATGGTGGATCTCACTAGACACACCCACCCACAGCACAAGCACACAACACATTGACATCTACGTGCTGAACCTGTCTCCCGACACTTGGACCGAAAACAAAGGACAAACATCAAACAAGTCCTGCAGGCTGAGCAAAATCATATACATATTTCACATGAATACTCCGACAAAACGGACAGCTAGCTAGATGGATTTTCTTTCAAAAAGGGCCCAGCCTGTTAGGTTTCAGTTTTTCAGTGGCTAGAAGTATCGCTTTCATATTGTTCCTCATGCGTCTCGTAACAAATGTGCCTTTGGGCATGTTCAAAGATGGGGGACCGGCAAAAGACGGTTAGATGTTTCTTGGTCACAGCCATCCTTCATTATCACATACGGTATTAAGAGCCTTGAACGGCTGGTACTCCAGCATGCTAGATGCCGGCTGGTCCAAAGAGCACTTTCACCTGGATCCCAACACAAGGGGTCCCCCAAAAAGAGGTTCCTCCAAAATGAAGGCTGTTTGGTTCCATGTCAATCTGCAAAGACACCCTGGGAGGACCCCCACACCCCGAAACTCCCAAAAACCCTCCGCCCGGAGTCGGCGTTTGCGTCCTCCACCTCGCTGGAGTCCAAGTCCTTGCTCTTCACACGGAGCCACGCCTTCTCCTCCTGCACGTCAAACCAACCCCCGAGTCGGTGGTTTGTCGCAGGCCCTGAGGCAAGCTGTGACTACATGGGCATGGGTCAAAATTAAACCCCAGGGGACCGCGGGTTTTAGTCCATGTATCCATTTGCCAGGGCAAGCCATTTTGGGGTTACCTTATATTTTACCCACAGTGACATGAACATTTCCTGTTGAACAACAAACAAACAAGGAGACAGGCTTGGAGGCCCCCTCTGGCCACCGCCATTTTCGGGTGGACTTCGGGTTTTGGGATTAGGCTGAACGCGTCCTTTTGATGTGAACTCCAAGACTCTGAATTCTGACCTCTCAGATTGCTCTCACTACAAACACGATGAGCTCATTGCTTCATTCATACTGAAACGCCATGTGCAATCCAGCAACATCGCTCCAATCATGATGCATGCTGTTCGCACGCAGAAAGGCCAGCAGAACAGCTGCCAGGGTCCACATATTTGCCTGAAAACCCTGACACAAGGACAGAACTCAAACTGTGAAAGGTGCTTGCGGTGAACCCTTGGGTTCCGCATCTTGTAGAACCATGGCTAAGCATCGAGTCCGCAAAGGGCTAACAGCTTAGCAAGCTCTGAGCAAGGCCTCTCCGGAACCTCGAGGGTTTGATCGTGGCTTCTTCCCGCTTCATAACTTGGCTTTGCGCACATACGGCTTGAGCTTGTGCCCAAATCCCAGACCCTCCCTTTTTGCAGGGTGCGGGAAGCTCAGGGGCGAAAGCTTGGACAGTCCGTGTCACGTTTGACCATTTGGCTTCAAATGGGAATCTGCAGAATCGGAAACTGCTCGTCAGGCTTGTGAAACTAATTATGAAGGTCTGGATCTTCCATTCCGCTGCGTAGCGCTTGCCCTACAGTCTTGTGATGCTCCCGGTGATGTTCATAGTCCTAGTGTTTGTTGCTTTCCGCACAGATTCATCTTCCAGCGTTGCCACTCCCAGTGTGGAAACCCTTCCGACACCCCATCAAACATGCCATCACAAGTCACTCATCGAGACTCCAGTAAAACTCATCGAACGTATCCGGGCGGTTAGGTGTGGCATGTGGCTGGCTTCCTCAGCTCCATCTCAACCAAAAACGGCTCCCAATTGAGGCGCCCGTTGCCGAATGAAGACGCGGTCAACCAGATGCAACCTTCAGACATCACCTAAAACACCCCAAAGTTACTTGCCCAAAAGGGAACACAATCTGATTAACGCAATGCTGCCTCCTAGCTGCAACTGGGCAAGCTCAATGTAGAATGTTGCGAGTAAAAGGCCCTCCTTCCGCTGAACGTGAGACGCTCTGGAAGGGCCCGATGGTGCAACAGGATCTGCTGCAAACAGGCGAGGCTTCAAACAAGAAATGGAAATCAACGGTGATTCATCAGGAGACCAGAAAAACAACTCCTTCACACGTGAGCTTGCGAAAATACTCTGGCTGTTGATGGCAGCGGGTCACCCTAAGATTCAAATTAGAATGCATGAGTCTTTCCGGCTCGCGAGTGTGCGGTCCTAAGTGGAAAGGCCGAACAAGATGGAACTTGTTGCCCACAAACGTTGTATCCCCAAAACGCTCAACGTCAGAAGGTTAGGGAGCAAAGAAAGACACTTGCACGCGGCTTCGTCGAGACCTGCAAGTGGGCGCCTCTCCAAATAGGGGTCTGCCAAATTTCCCCTTGTTTTAATTTCAAAAGCCAGCAAAAAGAAAAGGGATCCGAATCCAATTCTGGGAAACTCCATGGCGAATGCCGTCCTCCTCTTTCTGCAAGTCAGCTTCGTCAAGGACATCCTGGCTGGCCCCCAACACAGATTTCCCACCCCAAAAACAGCAGAATATAGACACAAAGCACGGTCGGGCTTGGCCCCTGCCTCATTTTGCTCTTCTGCCCTTTTTCTCGTTTTTTGGGGCCCCGTCCCTGGCTGAAAGACAACCAAAACTGCCATCTAGTCCCTTTCAGCCATTCCAATCGGAGCTTCCAGGACTCGAGATGGTCCTTGTAGAAGTCCCAGGCGAGCACCGTACCTTTCCCGCGTCGGGGGGGCGTCAAGGGGCTGCCGAGGTGGTTTCAAACAAGGCGACTTTGAACATCCTAAGCGACCCAAGTCTGGAGGATCTTGGGCAGTGGTTCTTTGCAGAGTCCAAAAGACTAAGTGGGGCTGTGCAGGATCACCAAGTGAGAAACTGTTAGGGATACACGCGTCCCCATTGCTCGGAGTCACTTTTGACCCAGGGGTAACGCACCCTGCACTGGGGTTCTCAAGCTGCGAATACAAAGTAGTGCACTTGGAGTTGCCAACATTTTTGCGCAAAAAGTGTGGGTGTGTTCTTTTCTTACGGTCATTTGTAAACGGCAACCACCCAAGAAACACAACTGGAAAACTTGAGTGCCCCCTTTGTGCAATGTCTGCAAACGGTTGGGTTCTTTTTGGCTTTCAAAGAAAGCCACAAACCTATCTTCTGGAAGTTCACTGGCCATTTTCTTCCTGGGGCCGTGCCGGCTCAGGGCTTTCTGTTAAGGGCTGAACCCATGTCGAGTTGTTCTTGATGCCAGTCAAGCAAGTCAGTGCAACTGGGCCCCTTAAGCTGTTCCTTCTAGGTGCTCAAAGTTGCCTCTCGAGGTCAATGTCGTTGAAAACACCTTTGGAAGGGAATCTTTCGTGGGGTCACTTGGATGGGCGCAGCGCAGTTTGCCAACATTTCCCTTGCCATGTCATGAACCGACTTCCCACGTACGTCAGGCAACTGCACGTGAAGCTGTCCACTCGCTTTTGACCCCAACCAATGGAGCCAAAGTCAAAGACAACAACGTGGTCGTAGGACGCGCCCTTTCTGCCAACTTTGTCACACCAATGTTCCCCGTTCATGTTCAGGAAGCCGCCTACGAGCATGGTGATCCGCAGAGTGCTCTGTTGCTCCTCTGCCGTCCACCAAGCAACAGGAACACAAAACAACATAAACAACATGAAAACAATGAACAGCGTAAACAACGTGAACAACATGAACAACCTGAACAACATCTCCCCGCCAGGAATTGTCCAAAATCTGCATTCTGCTAGACAACTGGAAACCGAAACCAACAGGGGACCACTTAAAACTGAACCCCCAATTAGGGTCAACGCCCACTCCCCAGTGGCATTGGCCATTGCTGGGTGCGTTCAGTCAAGAACTTTTGCAGCGAGTCCTAAACTTCCTACCTTAACCAGCCTCTCCCGCCAAAAAGGGAATCTCACATAAGGTGCATGGAAGATCTTCTTTGGGTCTTCGCCCACAAAAATTGGCCCAGAGGGTCATGTCACAAGCCACCGAAAGGCCGGCAGCCAGGGAACCCGCCTGGTTTTTGTCGGGAGGTCTTGGGTGCCGTCACCCACGGCGCCGTCCTGAACGACTAAGCCTGACTGGGCCCTCGCGCTCAAGAACTCCCGGAGGTCCGGGATGGGGCGCCCCTGAGACACGTCGGTTGGATCAGTCCAGCCGCTCCTCGCTTGCCCCCTAAAGGACCTGGACATAAAAAAAAATAAAAGGCGATCACCTGGGACCGGTACTAAAATATGGGAACCCCAAATGGAAGAACCAAAAGGTCAAAAGGTCGGCTTTGGGCAAGTGAGTTTCTTCCGGACCATGGCGAAAAAAACGAAAAACCTGTGGCTCAAAAAACCGGAATTCCAAAATGGGTTGCCCTGGAAAGTGGAAACATGGACCAAAACCTGCGGTTTGCCCCTCCTGTTTAATTTTGAGCCACACGCATATCCTTCGCAAATCCTTCGCGACCGCTCTGAACCACTTTTGCTATATGGCTGTTGCGCTTGAAAGCACAGCCACACCGCCTGACTGCAGCTGTCATCCTGCCACTCAATGCGACAATGGCGTTCACTTGTACTTCTGTGCTTTGTGGAAGCGTTCAATGGAAGCAGTCACCATCACTCGACCTTTCCACTCTGCATGCCGGGTGTGCTCCGTCCTGGACCGAATGTGCAGAAATGCGTTTCGCTGTCTTTGCGTATCTTTTCCGAAATGGCCCCGCCAACGACTGCAGGCATGCCTCCAAGAAGCCTTAGCTAAGTCTTCGCGAGAAAATAACATCTCTGTTGCAGACTCTTTTTGCATCTTTTAGCAAATCTTTCGCGTGCACAAACGCCTGCAATGCAATGGTCCTCCAAGTTACATGTTCTTACGAGGTCAGTGTGACAATATCAAATAGGTATATGTGTGCATGCGTAGCCCTAGCATGAACCCCTGGTCAAATGAGATTACTAAGCATTGAGATGGCCTAAGTGCGGGAAGCCAGCCAACTTTGGATCGCAAGTGGCCATGGCTTTATGGATATGTACATTCGTGGGCCCGTCTGTATCATGACAACCTGCAAAGAAGCACATGGCTGGCTGGAGCCTCTAAGTTGATTGGAACCAAACCACAGCAGCTCCTTGTTGGTCGCTCTTGAAACTCACCCCGTGCAAAGCGAAATCCAAAAAAGCAACACCAACAGACTCAACGCAGCTCGCTCTGACTTGCCAGCCTTGCTCATCTCATGACGGCACGAATCGATGCGCACAGCACGAAGGAGTGGGGAAGGCCGGTGGGCCAGTTGTCTGTGCCCCGGGAACGGGGCTGTTGCTTCGAGAAGGCAAATACAACACAAAGCTTCAGTGGAAACAGTGGCCGGAACCCTACTGAACCTCTGCCAACACAAAAAGCTGCTGGCCTGCCTGTCAATCCAACCTGTGCGACACTTGCAGAGTTTTGAATCTTTTGGCTTCTCAAGCACAGCTCGCATCGATCTAAGACAAGCCAACAGCAGAGTTGTCAACAACTCGGAAGCTTCACGAGGGTTCAGCATGGCTTGAAAGGCCATCTGCAGGTCGAAACAAGTTCCCGCTCGTTTTGCACGCTTGCATGTTTTGCTTGTGTATGTGGTGTCTGGGTTTGGTTGCTTGCTGTTCCAATGAGCGGCGTGTTGAACAGTTGCATGAGCGTGCCCGTCGCTGTTCTGGGATCTGAGGGCCAGTATGCAGCGGGCGGCAAGAATAGAGACACGATTCTTTCATTTCTGTTCCAATCGGACCAACTTGTCGCAAAAAACACTGAAGTGGAACCTCTATGGAATCTCTATTTGAAGAGTTCGATATCTGGTGGCTTGCCAGCCAAATTGCAACCCAACTGCGATCTACCTGGAGGTCTTCTTAGCCTGATTGCCCATTTGAATTTTTCACCGCGCCATCATCGCTTCCAGCCAGGGGACCAGCGTTCTGCTCTTTCCTGGGGCAAGGATCACCTGTCACATGGGCGCGTAGAACATGCTTCAAGTTTTTGTCATTTTTGCGCCACGATTGGAGAAATCACACCTCGCACACCATGGGGCCACACTGTCGCAGATCTCCACTTCTCAAGGCGAGCTGCCCGGAGTTAGGACGCCCGGGGCTGCCCTTTTTCGGGTGGGGCTTCCTGTGTTTCGCACAGGAGTGACCCATAGACTCACTTCCTGAGTTTGGCCAGCAGTCCAAACTTTTTGTTTACCAAGAACATGGTCCAAACCCAAAAAGTGAATCAAGTCCAGGAACTCAGGGAGTGAGTATATGTTTATCACATGTCCAACACGCAGTCTCTTTGGAGTTGGTCTCCGACCCACAAGACCTGGATATTGCCAGGAATCTGCAAATTGGACAAACGCTTCAGATTGTCGCTGGGAACACGAGGGTAGGAATCACCTGCCGGAGCAGAGGGGTGACTGTCGAAAGAGCAGCCCAAACAACACCGGGAGTTTCCTTTGCTCAGATTGGACTGGAGTCACGCGCTGAACTATGGGCGAACTCTGTCTAGCCTAGAGGGAAACAAACTCCTGAAAATCTGCAACAATTCGTCTATGCCAGGCGTCTTCTTTTTGACAATAGATAATTGCGCATGTTGTTTTTGCTTCGTCAAAACCACGGTGCGTACCACCTTCACAGCACCATGGAGATTATACTGCAGGGCTACAGGACACCAAGATCCCAAGTGAAAAGGACCCTATTTGCTTGGTTGCTATTCACCCCCCTGCAAAAAGTTTAACTTTTTGCGGGTTTAGTGGAAAACACCTTTATTTCCCAAAAAGTTAAAGTCTAAAGATCCAACCCAATAGCAGTCAAGTTTGGAACAACCTCTCAACTGGACCGTTGCCGACTTTTGATCCGAAGGCCCACCGCAGGCCTGCCTTCGAGCCCTTCAGTGTTCACAAGTAAGTAAACCTATAGGCACTCTCCAAGTCCGAAGCCGAGCGAGCTCTACTACTTAGGACATCAGTGGAATCCCGAAATTTCCCGAAACAACACATCGAGCGAACCGCCTGGCGCTTTTCGGCCCTCTTTTCCTCACAGGTCGTCGGGATCGATGTCTCCCTCCAAGGCAGAGGTTGGGCGCGCCTGGCATCGGAGAACTTTCACCCAAGCGGTGAATCCGAAAAAACGGCGGCCAATCAAGCCTTAACCCGAAGGATGTCTGCTTTTGACCCTCACAAGGCGTATTTGCTTGCCCGTGTCTTGAACATGACTCATGACTCTATGTGACAAGGAGACAAAAGCACCAGAGATTAAATCAACTCAAGGCATGACCTGATTTTGTGCCAAATGTGGTTGACCCCCTCCAAATTTCTGGTAATTCATTCATTGCTTTCCGCTGAACACCGCCGCCAAAGGGGGCACGGCCTCAGACTTGCAACCACTCAACCCCTTCAAATTGAGCATGGCTCAACCCCACGCTGAAAGCCCAACCGTTGCGTGGGGTCCGAGCTGAGTGGACGATCCCAAACCCAAGTTGATATTTTGCCTTCGGAGCAGTCGTTGATATTTTGCCACTTTGGGCTCAACCAGAGGTGGTTCCTGCTTGATCCATTTCAGAAGATCTCTGATGAAACTGTTCAAGTCCCAACAAACTGTGACGCGAATGGATTTGGATTCAATCCACAGGTCCGACAGTCTGGCAATGTGGTCGTTTGTTTGGGGCTGTCGTCATGTGGCCTCCCATGGAAGGTGAACTGGACGTCCAACTTCTGTCCACATCGCAAAAACGCGTCCAAAAACAACAAGTCGATCGCATGGGCCAAGCACACGCTAAAGCCAGCTTTTGCTCAGCTAGTCCCAGAGTTGCTGTGCGTTTTCTAGATTCGACAAAGATCCGAGGTTCAAGTCCCAAACCAGCAGATCAACCCACCAACTATATAAGGGCAAGTCGCTGGATACCGAAAGGCCACCCTAGCATGTAGCAAGCCACGCACCTCCCCTTTTGCCATCCCAAGCAGAACCCCGCCTCCAACGGACCCTTTCCCAAGCAAAAACTCAACACCGTTGATTTTTGTGCCTTTGCCAACGACTCAATGGGGTCAAACGGAAAGCGTTGGCTTCCTGGCAAGCATGTTGAGCACGAAGAGCCAAAAACACCATGCGTGCCATAGCGCTCACCGCGAATGCTCCGCCTCAGCACCTTGTGCCGCGTCCTGACCAAGGGGCAAGGCAAGTTCTGATAACTTGCACACAGGCCTCGCCATCGACATATAAAGTCTATTGCTTGCTTCCCATCCAGTCACCAATGCAATGCGCGAAACTTTCCCCCGATGTGCTATGTGGGGGATGGTTGGTGAACATGTGGATCCCCTTTCCGTGTCCTTCTAAAAGCAGGCCAGTAGCCAATGTTGCCAAAAATGTGTGTTTTGACAATTATTCATGTTCGAAACAAGAACAGCTTCGTCTGGGCTTTGGCTAGCATCCCTTGCTCGGCCAATTTTGGCACAACGGCCCTAGCAACTCCAACAGTGGGGGCACAGTGCAACTGTCTTGTCGCTTATGGTGCGTCAACAGGCCCGTGCGCTTGCTACCTTCAGGGCTGGAAGTCTACGCTTGGCGCCCATCAACTTGTAGCAGTGATCTATTTTCTTTCCCGCTCGTGAGCTCGTCCGAAAGGGGCTCCGAGTAATAAAGCACCCGAGCTGGCAATTTGGCAACAATGATGTGGAAATGGGAGATCCCATGGGCGCAACATGTTCCGAACGGGGGGTGGATGTTGTTGCAGTCCACTACATGCTGGTAGCTGAAGCGCAGAACAGCAGCCTTGTAATCTTTACGCGTTTCATATGACCCAGCCTCGGGGCCCAAGCCCCCCGCGCATCCCACACAGCTCAGTCGCCAGCCAGCTTCTTGCCCCGACCTGTGCCCTTACTCAGCCCAGGCCACCCTGCAGCCAGCTTATTCAGCCCAGACCCAGTCTGAGCCCGCCATTCCCAGTCCAGCTCATTCCAGCCATCTCGTTGGATTTAAGTTTCTGGTAATCATCTCCTAGCCTCGGCATCATTTGCTCAAGCCCGCATTGTTCTTATGGCGCGCAGCTTTCACAAACAACTTGTGAAACCCAAATGCACTTTCGGGGTTGGACTCTTTCTGAAGTGGTTCTGTCAAGCTTTGGGCTGGCAGCGGAGAGCCAACAGGACCAGGAGTAAAGAAAGCCAGCCCGAGTGAATTGAGCCGACAGGCCAAAACTTCCCATATTCCAACCAAGTTTGCGGCGTTTGAGGGAAAACAGGGATGAGGCCAGCTGCAAACATCCGGTGCTATTTGGCTGGAGAGCCCTAAGCTTCTCTAGGCGTTCACCGCAGCTCTTTGTCTCTGGCCTGCGGTGCACTATGTCATCTGTGTCCCGGAAAAAGGGAGGCACTTCAGCCACAAGACGCCAACATCATGCCAAACATCTTCTTCATGACGAACGCATGATGCAAAACGGCAACAAGAGCTGCCCCAGTGGGTGTGAACCACAAGCAAACCTGTATGGTTCTGACAAGTGAACATGTTTTGCCCAGTTTCAAAGGGAAATAAAGGTCCACCCACCAATATTCATGCCTTGCGCAATTTCATGCAACGCAGGCAGAAATCCCATCAGGCGAGCGCACCAGCTCAGCATGTGGGATACAACTATTAATCTGCCTCCGGCGAATGTGTGCGGCTCAAGACGGATCAACACCCGATCAAAAGGACCGAATCCTTCGATTTGCATTGCTTGCAACCAAGATCAACACGCGCACACGCAACCTTGGCTCAGTGAAAAGAGCTTTCTTGGACTTGAAAAGGTTCGCTGCGCAACTGAATAGCCTGAAAACCACACAGCGAAGCTCATCCAAGATTCTGGACTTCTCACATATTTCAGTGAATTGGACAAACCAAGTCCGAACTAATTGTTTTGTACTAAAATGGTCTTCTCTGAAAAAATCAAGTCTAGGAACTCGGGCAGTAAGATGTACCGACTTGAGGTGCAGGCCTACCTTCTGCGGCAGAAGATTACAAGGGTGAGAACTGCCATGACGGCGGTGTAGATGCACACCCCCTGCACGCGATTCCGCGTGAGGATGGCGAACACGTAGCCCACTCCGTATTGCAGACACAGGAGAACTGCGATGGCTGGCCTGGAGCTGAAGATGGCTTTGTTAAATGATTGGTCATGTTCGCTTGCCACCAAGATGATCTTCCCCAAGTAGTACCAAGGCTAGGAACTGTGACATATCATGTGCCATCTTCCAATGCCATTTGAAAGAAGGGCCCTTGGTAAGGGGCCCAAAGGCAAACTCTGAGATGATTACAAATCAACATGGATGGAGCTACTATTCTGCTGCAGAACCCGGAAATCGCTTGCCCTGCAAAAACACAACCCGGCATCAGCAAAAGTTGGCTGACTCAAAGTGCAAGTTGTAAGATCCCTACTCTTTTTGCCCAATCACCTAAGTCTTCGACGAAAGCTTGCGATTTCCCTTGCGACACACGGACTCAGCAAATGATCAATGATCATGTCTGGTTCTCTCAACCTCGCAGGCTTACACTCAAAAAGTCCAAACAAAGTAAGCAACAGCGCCTACTTGCTGTCGTATACGTTGAGTATCCCGATCGAAGTGTACGAACTATGCCACCTTGTATTCTTCGGACTTTGCGATTCAAGGGACACGGCGTCCCAGGTGGGTGGCCCCAAACCCTCAGTTGGCAGTGGAGGGGGGAATGCAAGGGGATGGTTGGAAGCCCTTAGCTCACAGCCCCGCCCTTCACTTAGAGCTAATGCAAGGGAAGCCATTGAAACCCAGGGACTTTGTAGTAACCATGTCCTATGCGCAGCCATGTACAACCATGAAGGGTCGTGACCTATGGCTTCTGTTGCTGTGGTTCTACATCAGTTGAACCTTTTTCGTTGATGCAACGTTTGGGAATCTTGTTTCAACCCCCAGCTTTTCTGGGGCCCATAAGCCAAAAGGTAAAATAGAGGTCTAACAACAGGCTTGCCGTTGGACAAACAGGCTCCGAAGCATTTTCGCGGCAGGCAACATGATCGCCAGGTTCGTGAGCACGTCCTTCCACAGCGCAGCACGCTTCCGGCGGCATCGGAAGACCAACATGTTCCAGCCGACATAAAGGCACGGCATTCCGAACAGCCACCACATCAGCCCGTTGATGGCGTAGTACGCGGCGAACCTCGTTGGCACAACGAGGCCTGCATAAGTGTATATACAATATATATGTATATATATATATATGTTTATTTACAAATACGTACATACTACATCTATCGGTATATACATATTATATATACACGTCATGATGCATATTGATATGCACCGGCGTATGAAATATGTAGGCGTGTAAACAATATACACGTTTATCACAACGTACTCTCATGATTGGTATCCAGCAGGTCCTCAACATGACCAAAAAAGCCGTTGGCGCGTGCTTTGCTAAGCTCCTAGACTGAGGTCCTCATTACTGGCCAGCTCTGGAGTGGAAACTATTCGTCAAGCCGGCAGAAACAGGGCAAGGCTCTCGCGACCCAAACATATCAACAGGACACAGAGAGCCAGCACTCCCAAACCTTCGCGAGACATGGCTGAGGTCTCAGCTGCTCGTTTCCATTGCGCAACTGCGCCGCCACCGCGTCCGCGGTGCCCCACATGAGGGGTGACAACACGCCCACCAGCGAGAGGTAGGAGAAGGGGTGGCGCAGGTGAGCAGACATGGCAGGCAAGACCTGCGGGCATGGGCCAGAGACCTGTTCCTGTTTGTGTTCTTCTCGCGAAAGGTGGCTTCAGGTTTTTGTCTTTCTTCTTTTTTTCTGGGGGGGGTGCGCCTGCCACTTTTGGAGGTCAAAGGCAACTCTTTTGGTGCCAAGCGTTTGAGGTGGCTTCTGTTTGCTAGCCCCGGCGTTTTACTGGCCCCGGCTCAGCACCTCCCGCATGTGGCTCTAAAAAGATTGGCTGGAAAGCCTTGAATCGCTTTCAGGTTGGCGGCAGGCGGTCTCTGGGGGCCTGGTTGGCCAGGATGGGGGTCGGGTTGGCTGGCCACATCCCCAGTGCTTTGGTGGCAGTTCAGAGTTGCTCGGGGCTGGTTTCGGGTGAGTGTCTTGCTGAGGTCTTATTGAGGACGGGTCTTGGGGTTGTTTGGGGTTCAATTAAGTTCTATGGTTTCTGTTGTTTCCATGGTTTGTATGGTGTGCATGGTTCTATGGCTTTCTTGGTTTCCAGGCTTCTATTATGGTTTCTATATGGCTTCTATATGGTTTCTCTGGTTTCTTGGCTTCCATAGTTTGCATTGCTTGTATAGTTTCTATGGTTTTGCTTGGCTTGCATGATTTGTATGGCTTGTGGTTTTCATGGTTTCCAAGGTTCCTATGGCTCCTTGGTCTTCCATACTCTGCATGGTTCTGGTTTCCATGGTTTGTGTGGTTTCCATGGTTTCTATGGCTTCTATGACTTCCATGGTTTTCCTGGATCCTGTGTCTTCTATGGTCCCTTGTTTTGTACTTTCTACGGACATCACGGCTTTCACGGTTTCCATGCTTTCTACGGAGATAAGTACATGTTTTCCAGGGATTCAACGGCTTCTGCGGCGCCCACGTTTCATACAATTTACAACACACAGACACGACTGGCGACCATTTCTCAACTTAATTGACGTTCATTTCCAACACAAAGGAACGACCCATCAGCATCACACACTCTGGCCCCATGGTGTCAAACAAGAACCTGCAATTCGCATGTTTCATCCGTGGCCTGTGCGTGAATTTTCAAGCCAAGCGACACAAGGCCCATACTCAATCATTGCCCCGGATCGCACGAACAAACACCACAAAGGCCTTTGCACGTTGCTAGCAGCCATTCCAACCACTGCAAGTGGCAAAAGCCGTGGAAACTGTTCGTGGAATTGCGTGGTGCACGATGATTCAATGATCAGTGCGGTAAAATAACGGCCCTCCAAAATGTTGATCCCCATCTCAATGTACCGTTCAGTTCACGGGGCAAGCTGGCCACCTGAATCTTTGTGGGCCATACGTGTTATTATAATGCGAACAAAATGACTGCGTACGCCCGGCCGAACAGGACAAATAGTTCACTGAGCTCATCAAAGAGTTCCTGACCCCACAAGTACAAAATGGAACCCCCAAACCCAGGAAGTTAACGCCAACCTTCCCGGCTCCAGGAGCTGGTCCCGGACCAAGAGTGGTAGGCTCAGTGTCAGACTTTTTTTTGGGACATATCCAACCCAAGCCTTGGATCGGACTGCTTCTTCAAAGCTCTCGATGGTGCCAAACCACGAGATGATGCACGCTTTCACGAGCTCTCTGTCGCACAATATGTTCTGACCCTTGGAGTTCAAGTGGTTGCAACCTCAGCTATCGTACGTCTTTCCTCCTTTCCTCTAGCTGACTTGGACTAGGTGTTGGGATTCAAACCCTTCCTCAAACCACGAAACCTCAAAACACCAGCTGAATGCGGCAAAGGGCCGTCAGCGATTCCAGGCTGAGCGCTACATCTGGGAAAGTGCCACTTTGGACCCTGCCCGCTACGTGCGCATCACGAAATTACATTGCAAACTGAGACGGTCTAAACCAAAGGGTGATTGCTGAACAAACGTGCCAAGATGTACAGCTTTGAACTCGGCATATTCAAACCCCAGGGTGTTCAGCAAAGACAACAAACAAGCAAAAAGTTTGAAAGCTTGGATTTTGGCCAAGTCAGCTCCTTCAGCTGGAACAAGCGCAAACAAACCACCAGTGCTCGGCCGCACAACACACAAACAAAACAACTTGCCTCACCTCATTTCCAGGGCCCTCTCCGAACGACACTCAACATTGGCAAGCAACAGGTGATTCTGAAACCGGCCAAGTGGAATTTGCACCCAGTGCTAAGGAACATGTGATTTTGAAAATTCTAAAATCCGAAATAAGGAATGCCATGTTATCCATCGAATGGTATTCTGAGCATAGAGGACCCCTTGGGCAACCAAAGCTGTGAGTGTGCAGCTGCCGTGGTGGGCTGACGCAAGTTCTGCGAGAACATGGACTTGTTCTTTGATTCATCCGTCGTAGATAGCATCCTTCACACGGGACACTAACTGCTGACACCAATTAACTGGGTTGATTCCTCGAACTTTTGGCTCGACACGCGCCGCAAAGGCCCCTGAAGTCGTATCCCAGTGAGAGCAACCCCTCACAAGCTGAGCCGATGATTCAACACTGGCTTCAACACGTCTAACAGAACCACGACCCCTTTCAAGTCGGCGCGGGATGTCGCCAGGGTTCAAGGCGATTACAAACCCTGAATAGGTTCCCTTGAAAACGGATGTCAAAAGGCAAAACCTGGGTTGGTATACCGATCTGCCATCAGGTAAACTCTTTTCTGCAAGTTGTCCCAATCTGGAGGTCTCGGGAAAGATCTAGATGTAAAACCCGTTGGTGTGCAAGAACAAAGCCAAGCATAGCCAGCATAAGCAATCATAGGCAATCAAACAAAAGCTATTTTGCAGAAATGGCACACAGGCTATGGGGGTCTATCGAAAAAATGAAAAGAATGCAAGCCGTGAATGATCCATCCTTTTGCTGACACATTGGGTGTCAACAGTTCCCTCAAGCCTGTTGTGTTCGGGTCACATGGTTAAACTATGTGCGGCCCTTGCCTCCTTTTAGGGCGCACAAGGGAAACGCAGATCCTTAAGCAAATACATCCTTCACCTGAGGATACCTGAGGGCACATGTAACACCCAAGATTTGGGCACCCCGCGGTTCACAGTGTTGTTTTTTTAAGCCTCCCCCCTTTCACCTAGCCCCGTGAGTCAAAGCCTTCAGGGAAACAGCTGTTCATTGACACCATCAGTCAACATGCATCGATTCATGACACCTCTAAGAGGAGTTCCCTGGAACTCCTCAGTAAAAAGGACATGCCTGATCGACAAGTGAGGGTTCATCAGCCAGGGCCCAAAGGACAATATTGTATTGCAAGGAAGGAACCAGCCAAAACTGACCACACCGGCAATGCGGCAAAGAGTGGTACAGGTGAAACTGGTCAGATTCGCTGTTCGCTTCCACGGATTTCTTTGCTTCCGGGCCGACAAGCGAATGAGCGGGCCTTCAAACCTCCAAGGAGCTGCAGCAAAAGGACTCGGCCTTGTCCACCTCAAACTCTTTCATCTGTGCCTAACGAGTAGGCTTGAGAAGCGGATAAGACAGAAAGCGGCCATGGAAACTGGTGCCCCAAGTCAAAACCCGCGAAAGGAGTTGAGAGGCATTCCTTTTGACCCGCGCTGCCGAGCAAACAGTCATGAGTAGTGCGTGGATGAGAGGATTTGAGCGGATTTGGGGGGGCCTATGGCAGTGGGCATCTTCTGGACTTTCCTCTCCCCTCATTAGAGACTAAACTCTAGTACATTTCTGCGGGGCCCAAACCAATTCCGTGTTGATGCGAGTGGGAAATGATCTCGGTACCTAGTTGACCGGAAACGCCCTGTTTGATTTTGCTGAGGGGGTGCCCCTGTTTGATGAAAGGCGGAAACCTGAAGAATCAAGCAGAACCGGAGTATCAACCCGCCTGATCCAGATCAAACTGCCTCACTCGTAAACACGCGATATCCTTCCAACCTTCAAGGGGGCCGGCTTGCCTCGATGCAGAACATTTGTTTGGCCGAAATGGCGCCCGAATCGTTCCTTGCGACGAAGGAATTGTTGCCAGCAGTGAAATTTGCGTTTGAGCATGTGCTCCCGTTTGCGCGAGTTTGCGGCCGATGTAGCGCCGCAAGGTCAAAACGCGATGCAAATTTCCGCAGAAGAAACATATCCAAGGCTGAAAGTTGGATTGTGCATTCTGTTTTTCCCGAGTGGACCTCCAGGTACATCTAGCCTTCCAACCACTAAGGGAAACACGGGGCGCTCATCAAATCAGCCATCCCGCGGGAGAGTGGGGGGGAACACCAGGGGCTTAGAGTCAATTTCAACCGAGGAACTTGCCCAACTCATTTAAAGTGAAGAGAAGACCGGCTCAGCCTTTTCATAAGCCAGCATCTTCTTTTGGAATGCGCCCTGCTTAAGGTTTTCAATTCAGTTGGAAGCCGATCAATCAGCAACACCCACACCCCCAATGGGCATGGGCCAAATGGACACCAATGTTTTTGGGCGGTTGGATGTACAGCGATGCCTTTCCAAAAAGCAGAAGTGGGCAAAAGTGGAGGTCTGGGAGCAAACATGCCCAGAAATCCTAGTCCCCTCGCGATTCAGCCTGCATGGAGTCGAGATCCCGGTAGATCTCTCGGAACTGCGCAGCCGCCAAGTAGAAGCCCGCCGTGCCCAATAGAACCCTCGGCTCGACCCGTCGGAATGGACGTGTTTGGTTAAGGCTCTTTGTATTTGGGCCATGCAAGAAAAAACACATTTGTTTCATCATGGGGCCTTGTCCTTTCTGTTTGTGCTTGGCTAGTCAGCTTGGACTTGGCTTTTGTCGGTGGTTTGAAAGGAAAATACATCGTTGCTCTTTCTTGAACCGACATGGCCAGTTGCAGGCTCTAACCCAGATACTGCAACCTAGACAGGAGACTATCTGAGAAGCGGCATCTCCCAAGAAATGCAATTATGACTTTCTGTTTTGAGTTCCCGCGAGCTGGGCCTCCTTCCACGTCAACTGACAAGCATTTGAGCCAGCGCCTATATTTGCTGTGTGGGGTGTATTCATTCTACTTTTAGTGAGTCCCCTATCGTTCTCCACGTTTCGCGTGTTCGTGCTGTGCCCGATGAACCCTCTGCAGGGATCGCGCGCCTCGAAGCGCTCCCACTGTGGCGCCGTGCGAATTTGTAAAGCGCCCGATGAACCCTCTGCGAGGATTGCGCGTGCCACAGCGCCCTCGCTGTGACGCCGTGCGAATTTTAAAACTGCCCGATGAACCCTCTGCAGGGATCCTGCGCGCCCAAGCGCTCTCGCTGTGGCGCCGTGCAAATTCGTAAAGTGCCCAATGAACCCTCTGCGAGGATTGCGCGTGTCAAAGCGCCCTCGCTGCGACGCCGTGCGAATTTGGAAAGTGCCCGGTGAACCCTCTGCAGTGATCCTGCGCGCCCAAGCGCTCTCGCTGTGGCGCCGTGCAAATTCGCAAAGTGCCCAATGAACCCTCTGCGAGGATTGCGCGTGTCAAAGCGCCCTCGCTGCGACTCCGTGCGAATTTGGAAAGTGCCCGGTGAACCCTCTTCGCGGTGACCACGCGTGCCCAAGCGCTCTCGCTATAGCGCCGCGCGAACTCGAAAAGCACCCGACAAACTTTCTACGCAAACACAGCACTGGAACCACACGCGTAGTCTTTTGTAAGCAAATTGCACTAGGCCTCACATTTGCAACTCGGGCCAATGCTCGGGGTATCGACGGGGTATCGACCGGGGTATCGTTCTGGGCGTGTGTCGCGTGACGAAAATTTTCACAATTTTCCATAAGCTGTTAGAGCCAAGCAAACACACAATAGCCTTCTCTGCTTTGCGGTAATCATATATCAGTCTTGGCGGCTTTTGCTTGCTGGCAGCAACCTCCAGGTCGCAAGTCGCAGCTTTCAGTACAGGCACGGCACACAAGTTAGACTTCGGCAGCTCCAGCTCGAAGGTCCAGCACAAACCATGTTCAGGGGTATCGTTTTTTGTGAGTCCCCTATCGTTCTCCAAGGAAAATGCAAAAAACCAGTATTGAATGAAACGCCGTTGATAAAGTGGTCTTTGATAATTCTGAGGTTGACTCATTTGGTCTTCGCAATGATATCATTCCTAGTTTGTCGATTGCTCTACATGGAACTTGTGGCTGTGAGGAATGCCGCATTTTCCCATGCTTCCATATTTCTTGTTGTCCAAAACGCATGTGGTCTGGCAACTGGCGCTCTGCTTCTCGAATGGCTGCTGACGATGCACCAAAAGTAACTTGATGCTGCGGGGGGCTTCTATCTTTTCGAAGCACACGCCCCAAGAGTTTAACTGTGGTGCTGCAGAACCTCTCTTGGCGAGCCTCATTTTTCTTCCAGGTCCCGTTGCCAGGCCATTCGCAATCTCATAGGCCTTCTGATAGACATACTTGTTGGCGTTCCTTCTTTGAATGAGTGTGGTGTGGAGATGAGGTTTTCGCGAGGCCCTTCAATTGAAACATGCTCAGAGGGCGAGCGCCAAACCAGCCCGTGCAGGACTTCGCTCACAGTCACAGCGGTGTGTGCGGCAAGTGTCCACTCTTTGTTGCGTCGTGCTCGGTGCCAAAATAAGTCGTGCTGTGACTTTTGGAATATTGTCGATCATGTGCGATGTTGAGAAGCCGCAGAGTGCTCCGAGGTGGGTGTGATACACTTTGGACGATACTTTGTCGTGTAGGACTTTTGTGTAAACCTTGTGTTCTGCGTTGGGGAGAGAGATTGGTCAGTAAAGTTCGAGCAAGGAAGTTCCTGAGGACTGCGGTTGCGCCGAACGTATTGAAACAGTTTTTGATGATGCCATCGTCTTCCCCATCCACCCATCAGTTAAAAAGCTCCATATCATGGCACCATCTGGCCCTGACGCTTTATTGGTGGTCATTCTTTCCTCTGGTCTGAAATGGTCTTCTCTCACACCGTGCTCGGCGCACGCTAGTGTGTCTTTTCTTTTATGGGCAGAGAGTTTGGCAGCGCTGTCTGTCGCCGGAGGGCAAGGTCAGCCCTTGTCATGGCCACGGACTTGTCTTTGTGGCTGCAAAACTCACAGATGTTGCAAACTCAATTTGTCCTCAGAGAAGACTGCACAAGTTAGTCTGCGCTCGGGTGCTTCAGTCCACAATCACCTAGGTAACAGAAGGCTTTAACAAACAATCAAATGCTGCTCCTGCATTTCCATTCGGCAAAAAATCGTTGTGGGTTAGCTCAAGAAATCATGGATGCTTGCCCTGAATGTTGACGACGTTAAGATTCTCCGTGCGAAGAGGCGCGTCGAGCGGATGCTCGATATGAAAAAGATACTCCGTGCGAAGAAACGCAGATAGACCAATCTCTGTGTGAAACACCCGCTCGGAGTGGCAGCCTCGCAAAAGATAGCAGCTGTGAAGCACCTTCCACTGATACGCGGATCTTCACATTTTCCGCAGACTGGGGCCACCATCGCAGCTCTCGCCCTTGCCGCCGAGCAAGGAAGCTGCCCACAACCCGCTGGAAGGCTTGATTTCGGCGCCAGCCAGACCGGAAGAAGAAGACATCACAACTGTAGTGCTAAGTTCCCCTCTCAAGTTGCGCAAGCTGATTCTAGCCGCTGTGTCGGGAAGGTCAGTTGTCCTCTGTTGCACGCCTTGCATCCCTCTGAAGTCGGTGGAGCGTGAGATGGGCTGAGACTCTGGACGCCTGCTCTACTTGGCGCTCCGGTTCAAGCCGCCTGCAGGCGCTGCCACCCTGTCGCGCTGGCTCCACCTCACTGCTCTTCACCCTTCTGCAAATGACGCTGGATGTTGAGCTGGAAGAATTTGAAGTTCCCGAATCTTTTGACTAGAGCTTCGGCACTTGACCATTCTGCTGTTCTCCGCCTGCGGCTGCACTGCATCCCGTTTTGCATGTTTTGCCTCTGGCTGGTCCGCCGGGGAGCCAGTCGGCATTTTCTTTTGGGTCTTCTCCTTCTTCTGCTTTGTCCTGTTGTCTTGCCGGCGCGTCTCCCGGGTTTTGCACGGAGTCCTGGATCTGGCGCATCTGCTCTCACTCCTACCCGTTGCAAGCGCCTGAGAAACGGGGCAGGGGTGTTGACAATGAAACCAACTTGCTCGAGCCCAAAAAAGTATGCCTACGGTCCTTGCTGTCTTTTGGGCGTGTCCGGTAGTGTGTCATAATTTGCTGAAGAACAACCACAAGTGAACCACGGTCAACAAGAGGGTCCAGGCCCGGCTTGTTGATGCTGCTTCGCGGGGCAGGTCCATGCATTCGTGTCCAGTCTCAGAATTTGGAGGCTTCACCGAGCCCCAGCCCATAGCCCACGGCAAAGCCACGCCAGGCCGCAGCTCGCTCCTCACGCCCAGAATCTTAGGTCACTGGGCCCACCTGGCCCTTGGACGGCTGTCCTTCAGGCCCCAGCGGACACTTTCACGCAGCTGATACTTTCACTCATGGGAGGCATGAACCTCGTTCCTTGCCAGCTGCCCTACACCGCGCCTGGCCCTAAGATTGACTCCCTGGTCCAAGTGTCTTGAAGTGGTTGCCCAATCAAGCCCCTCTAAAGAAAACAAACACAAGTTTGACCCATAAAGAGCTATCGCCAATTATACGAGCACGGGCAGTCTCTTTGATTCTTCAGCCAATGTCAGAACACGCGCCAGCAAAACGCGCAGAACAAGTTCATCAGCTCATACTACTTTTAGAATACGGCATGATACGGCATGTCTAAACCAATACGCCGGCTGTTTTTGGTCCTCTTGGCTTGCTCCTTGTGTGCAGCAACAACACATTTCTGCTGCTAATGTCGTTTCCCCGTTCTTTTCCAAGCACACAAACACAAACTGAATCGGTTCATATATCAAACCACAAACTTCCACAAGCCTTCCGAGAAAACAATCCTTTCAATGAAGCCTTCCAGTTCTTTCTTCTGGGGGCTGCGTTCAAAGAATCGATGCTTCAAAAAGAAAGCCGGCAAATGACCCAGCACAGGAACTATGTTTGCTCCCAGAGATCTACACTCCTTACAATGTGTGGGTGGTTCCAGGAAGGGGTGGCCCCAAAAATGAGTGTTCCTTCCGGTTCCGTCTACCCTCATTTGAGTTGCCACAGCAAAATAAAACACATCCATTGGCCCCTGAACCCAGCTGCCCAGTGAACCTGGTACAAAAACAGAATCCTTTGGGGGTTCTGACTCCAAAACACATTGGCATGTGTCTTGTAGGCCCTTCTCGAAGTTTCGCAAAGCTCTTGCTTTTAAAAGGGCCAAAGGGAAGGGGTTGGTCTTAAAATAGAGCCCAATGGGTGGTTTAAACCACCAGGCCAGAATGAAAGGGATCCCTCAAAAAAGACACCCCCACATCAACCTCTCCAACAAGTTGGCGCGACTCGAATCGAGCATCAGGACGGCGACGCCGGCGATGGGGCTGGCGAACTCCACGATGAGCAGAACCGCCATGAAGCTGCAGCAGCCCAGAGCAAAGGCGACGCCTCGGTGCGAAGAAAGCGACGAAACCTACACTCCCTCCTAACAGCTGGAAGCTCCAGAAGGCGTCTGTAAATGGAACTAAGTCTTGCAAAAGGGTCCTGGGAGCTCCCAGGTTAGTCTGGGGGAGGGTACAAGTTTTGACTTGCGGCGAAAGGCACCCTTTCTTTGAGGGTGGGAGGGCCACTGATTTTGACACCACCCACATTACTTGAAAACAGTCGGTTGGAACCGAACCTGGTTGCCGCCACTTCAAAACCTTGTCTGTTCCCCCCTCATTCAGACCCCATAGTGCAGCGTGTTTCGAGATTTGTTGACCCTTGCTTACACTCCCATTAGGTCGGCTCTGTGTTGGGACATCTACATGATGAGGTGCTCAACAACAGTAGCTTAATTGGAATGTCTCTGCCCTTTCATGGACAAACTCCCAAAAACTCAGAGTGAATCTGAACAAGCATCCCAAACACTTGTCGATTCACGATGTTCCAAACAAAATGGAGAGTGTGTCGACTTTGAGCGCTTCGTAGCAGCATTGCATCAAGCAACTTGGTCTGAACAACATGAAGGGGATTGCCTTGGTTATCATTCAACCTTACACCCAGGATTGAAGCCTTTGCTTGTTCATCATTGTCAAGTGCAAAGATGTAAGATGGTCCCAAGCGTTGACTCAGTCGCCTCAGCTTTCAAGACCTCACAAATGGCGCCTCAGCGGAGATCTGGAAAAGCCTCCTTTATGCGTCACTGCTTTTTGCCAGGAGTGGGGAATATCCTTTTGCGTCGTTCAAAACGACCCCTTTTTTCCAAACGTCTCTAAAAATCAAGAATCATCTTATTCAAAATACATCCGACTGTGAAAAGAAGAACCAAAGGCTCCCAGTCAGAAAAAATGGAGATCTGTTCCAAGCAGCTGCAAGGGCCCAGCAAGGATGGGAGCACCACCAGCTTGCCCTGTCAGCTGGGCCGATTCTTGGCCGAGGTACGCAGAAAATAGGATCAGATCCTTGATATATAGCCTAATTTTGGAGGAGACCAGTGCATTGATAATACATAAACGCTGCAGTCTGCTCCACTAGTGAAATCTACAATGTATCCTAACTCTGCCGCTGCTGCATTCCTTGTAGATTGCTGGTGTGTAAAACGATGCTTCAAGTAAAAGGCTGCAACAGGTGACAAGTCGAAACATGATTGGAGTTGAGCCCACTCATTGAACACATTGAAGTTGTGCTTTGAGCTCGAGCGAAACCTATGCTATATGCTGGCTACACCCAAACCATCCCAAACCCTCTGGCTGGACACATTCCAATTGGTTTGCTAACCTGATATTCTTTGACAGTGACGGCCTTGTTCCAAATCGGTGCCTTTGATCGCAACATCATCTCCTTTTGACACCTGCAGCGGGTTCATTTCCCCGAAATCGGGGGATACAGACCAATATATTGAATGGGAAATCTCCCAACAAGAAAAGCCTCCCCGACCACTCCAAGAGAGTCTGCAAATCCAATCCCGGAGCGAGTCCCAAAGCCACTGTCCATCCTGTTGATCCTAAAAACTCACCAGTTCAGCTGCCTGGCGACCAAGAAATATCCTGTCAACAAAAACATGGGCGGCCAACAAATGCTTCTCACCTGTGTAAACGATAACTAGATCGGCAAACTTATCCAAACGGTGACTGTGGCCACAAGGCGGAAACTGAAAGAAACAACACGAGCAAGGATCAACAATCACCAAATAATCACCGAACCCCCGCCCCCGGTTTGCGGAACCAACTAGGGAAAAACTGTCAACTCCAAGTGGGGTTAACCCCCGACCAGAAGCGTTGAGGCCATCGGTTGTGACTTTGCCATGACAAGCTTTCAAGTCACAGAACCGCTCAGTGGATGAGTTTCGAGCCCCAAAAGAATGCTCATGTTGCTCAGAGGAGACAGATACACTTGACGTGCACCTGTCCCTTGGAGGAGATACCAATGTGTGAACAAATGGCCAGGCATGTTGCCTAATCAAATGTAGGGTCCCTTGAACTTCGACCCAACCCAAGTCAGCCTGCGCCCACAACGGGATTCTTGGGATTGTAGCGTTCGTGGTGCTTTGGTTCGTGTGCCTCATGTAGGAGATGCTAAATACTGACCATTGCTGGAAGTGACACATTCTGGCAGGCTCAGTACAACATGCCTTTCGCTCGTCTTCATGGCTCTTCAGGTACGCTGCCAGCTCAAAGACGCACCAAAGCCTCGCGCCAGCGGTTGGTTGGTTTTGTGACTGCAACCTGACACGGGTTAAGCAGCCGGTTGGTTGACTGGCAGCAGCAAAGATTTGACATCCCCCTGGGTTTAGGGGGTGTTCAAGGCAAGGTCGATTTCCTTACAAATCGTCTCGCCTTTTTCCCCCCTGTGATCTGCCTCGCCTGGCGTCTGCACTGCGCAGGGGCGAGAGAAACTTACATCGAACATGAAATTGTGTGGGAAGCCCTATTTGATCAAGGTCATTGGCGCGCTTGACAGATCCAGCGCGTCCACTTGCCAATGTAGCTTGTATCTGGTTGCTGTGCCTGAACGGCAAGTACTCACAACTCGCACTGTCGCTTACTTGCCCAGTGCCCGTGGAATTCAACAGCGGCCTTTGTTGTATGAAAGTTTGAAGAACAACACATCCCCCAAAAACAACATGGAAAGTGACCCTTGTTTGTCCCTTCCCCCTCAACAAAACAGATACCCTGTCAGCAACTGCCGAGGTTTGAACCCTCGCGCCTTTTGACGTAGGTAGGATCCCAAATGACCACCATGGTGATCGAGTTCTTCAGGAACGCGCCGATGTTTAACACGCCTTCACATTTTGCCTCGAGGATCGAATCTAAACATCAACAGCCATGCCCGAACACGAGGGGCAACATAATCTCATGAGGGAAAAATTTGGGAAAATCATGCATCCTTGTGTTTCGGAAGAATAATTTCGTCTGGCTATCCCGTTGGCGAGGGCACACAAAGACCTGGACCTGGCAAGTTATGGTCTGTGGGTCTTTGGTTTGCTTCCTTAGTTGGCTTCTGGCGAGCAAAGGGAGATATGCAGTACTTCAGTGGAAATTCACCGTGTTCGGCTTCCGGCAGGCTGTGGAAAAGGCTGCTGGAAACAATGAGTCAAGAAACAGACCCTGCGTGGATGCCATCTGCTTCCCAAGGCGTCCCGTGTACCCACCGCAAAAAAGGAACCCTGAAGCAACACACACACACGCAATATATGTTTTTGTTCGTATATATATATATATATGTACATGCGCATATGTAAATATAGATATAGTTAATTAATATAACAAAAGGCAACAAAATGCCGAGAGGCTGAAAAATACTCCTGCGCCAAAGGGCAAGGGCAGAACAACAGCGGAATTTTCTGGAATCTTAGACCACAGAGATTGGAACGCTTTTTCTACAAGATGGGTGGAGAAGTGGGGAAGTGACCTGCATACCCGAATGGACAAGTAGCTAAAGCGATTGGATTACAATATCCACAGGCCAAGGAGGCACACAAGTGGTTTCTCTAAGGAAGAAGCCCACCCTCCCGTGACGTCGCTTGAGGACTCCGTCATCTCAGAAGTGTCCATGTCACAAAATCGTCAACATGAGATCGAGGTCGCTCCTGACACACCGTAACTGGCAGGACCGGACTGCAAACGTCCAGTCTGAAATTGGGCAAACAGAAAAGGGCCCCAAAGGCGTTCAACCCCACGCCAAGGCTACTTGCAAAACCTTGACACGAGGGCGTAAAATATGTTCCCGCAGCCCGCAGCCCGGGATAGGGTGGGTGATCGATTGCCCTTTTGAGACAGCCCTGTTGGCATTAAAACAAGCGCTGGGGGATGTATGTGGCTGCGACAATTTTTGCTCTGACCCACCCAATCCGGGCCAGGGGATGCCAGCCAGGGCACCGTGCGCGTGGACTGGTCGATGCACACGCGGTCCAGAAACACGAGCCCCGGCGGCCGCCACAAGAGTGCTAGAATGCCTCCAGCGCCAGGAGTGAAGCTTACGCGGCGTATGCGCTCATTGTCGAAAACAACACCTGGTGAAAACGACAGAACCAAGAGCAACCAACTACTTGACATCGAACAATCCCCACCTAAAAAGCTTGCATGGCTAACCTAGACTGTAAGCACAAAAGTCAATCCGACTGCGTGCGGAGCGAGCTGCTGGCTGAGCAAAGAAACTCAGCCGAACCAAAGTGGAACCAAGGAAGAAGCGTTGACCCCTTGGTCAGCGCAGCCTAGCTGTTACTGAAATCACGCTTCCTGTTTGGTGGAGATCCCCTTCATCTGGGGCACTCCGATTCTTCGAGGGGCCTGGCAAGCTCTTGCAAGGACACATCATCTGTAGCCCCAAGATTCAGCTACATGGGCTGATAGTAGCTGAAAACCCAGCTGAACACATGGCCCAAGTTCTGCCAAAACCAAAAACGGCCAAGAGATCAATCTTCCTCATCCTGCGTCTCGTGGGCCACCCTAGCTTCAGCGGCTGTACGCTTTGTTATGCGTGAGACGCGCGTGCTTTTTGGAGGTGCGATTACGTGCTCCTAGCCTCACGCAGCCTTCGGCCTGTCGCGTCTGTCCTCGCCCGGCCACAGGCGAGGGCCTCAATCTTCGCAGCTGTCTGTCACAGGTGCCTGTCACAGGTGCCCTGTCACAGGCTCTGTCGGCGGGCAGGGCTGGTCGTGGCAGTCGGATGTCGCTGAAAATCCACCAGCCCCAAACTTGTCGTGTGGGGAACAATGCAAGTCGACAGACATTGAGAGCAATAGTTACAGTGTAAAAAGCAAAACTCGATAAGACATGACGGTTGGTCTAGAGGCTCTCGGGTCTTATTGGGCAACAGTCAGCAACTGTGGTCAGCTGCTACCAACTCGAAATGCAACATGTGGCCTGTAACAAACACTACGGTGAGCACATTGTGACTCTTACTCGCAAAAACAAATTGTTTGACTCAAACTTGTTCGAAACTGTGTGGATTCGAACCAAACATATCACGCTTGTGTATTGCCCAGTAACTTGGAAAGTGCGAAGCAGCCTCCGCTGACTTCACACATGGCACCATGTCAAATTACGATCGCTCGCTCATGTTCACTTTCAGACCACCTGACGAATCCGAGTCTCGAAAGAAAGGCCCCCCCCCAACACATGGCAACTGCTTCCGATCAATATGCCATGCCAAAGGGGTCCATCACCTTAGTTTACATTTCGTTAAGACCTGGCTTTCCCGCGTGGAGGAGCAAGAAAGTCGACGCCTGGGACTCAGGAAAGTGCATATTCTGAGGGCGTCTGATTTTGTTTCGGATAGCCACCATTTAAAGGCGACATTTCGAGGATGTCACTTTGATGGACCCAGGATTCTTCTCTCAAAGCCGCAGCTGGAGACCGCGCCCACCGCCAAGCACCAAACCTCGAATCTCGGAAGCGAGGGGGGGCCGAGGTGAAACATAAGTCGGAGAAGAAACAACTGGGGTCGCACCCTAGTCTGATGCTGGTTGTAACATGGGGTGAGTTAAAATGCTTTGCTTTCCCACTCATCTTCATCCATCCAAAGTTGACCTTGGGTAGGCAGTTGGAAATATGGAATTGTCATCTTTCTAATCATCATCATCATCATCATCATCATCATCATCATCATCATCATCATCATCATCATCATCATCATCATCATCATCATCATCATCATCATCATCATCTTCATCGTCATCGTCATCGTCATCGTCATCGTCATCATCATCGTCATCATCATCATCATCATCATGATCATGATCATGACCATGATCATGATCATCATCATCATCATCATCATCATCATCATCATCATCATCATCATCATCGTCATCGTCATCATCATCGTCATCGTCATCGTCATCGTCATCGTCATCGTCATCATCATCATCATGATCATCATCATCGTTATCATCATCCTCGTCCTCGTTGTCCACCCGCTTCCTCATCCTCATCCTCCTCATCCTCCTCGTCGTGATCGTCATAGTCGTCACCCGCCGCTAGAGGCTGGTCGTAGCTTATTTGCTCCAAATCGCTTGTGGGGCTGATTGGACAAAGGGGCTCCCTGCCAAAAAGCTGAAGTGGCCAGAAGGTTAGCATCCAACGCGCTAATGGTTTTAGTAAACATCAAAACACTCACCAGCCCGAAATAAGGGCTTCCTATGAAAGCAAGGTAGCTATAGTATGCTTAGACATATATGACTGTTATCTGCCTGCTTGTTTGTTGTTTGAGAAGGTCTCTCAGGGGGGTTCTCTGTGTGCTTTTGTTCAGGTCTATTCTGCCATGCCCCTGTTTTCGAACATACTGAAGCTCAGTGACGGCAATGCGGTTTGGCCTCCCGTGCTTGTTGAGCAGCTTGCATCAGTTTCCTTTGCGCTGGAAAGCAACATTTAACTGCTTTGGAAAATGAGGCTGCCCTGTGAAGTGCAACAACCTCTCAAGAGAATCCCTTCATCTTAGCAAAGGTTATCAGGGAAAGCACACGCCATGGATGGGAAGCTCAGAGGGCCCAGCTTGATTTGCCTGACGGGAGCCACCATCCAACCGGGGGCCAACTCCCAAATACACGCCCTACATACCACATGCCCATGAAAATGGCCACATGCATTGTACAGCGTTTGTTGTGTTGCCACCCAATGCGAACTCAGCCATGTTTGCCCAAAATTACCAGAAGGCGACAGCAACCAGCAGGGAAAACATCCAGGGAGCCCTCTTTCCAGCCATAATCCCCCGCTGCCACCCCCCCAGTTGCGTTCTGTATGCCTTGTATTCGTGTTCGTCCTCTTGCCTCTCTCAACTTTCGCCAGCTCAAGACATCCTTGCTTTGGTTCCCCAAACACTTGAAGTAGGAAAACCAATTGGAACATCCTGCACTTGACCCAATCGACCATGTGCGGGGCGCTGAGTTCAGAAAGTCGCCGTCCTCCTGAGTCAGGTCCTGGAAGCTGCCCCGGCACTGGCTCATTTCGCCCGACACTTGTGGCCCGAACGGGGCTTTCAGTTTGCCCGGTTTCAGGTGGCATATAGGGCAGGTATCTGCAAGTTTTGCCACAAAATCCTCGCGCCTAAATTGGTGCAGAGCAGCTCTTTGCCCTTTGCGGAGGCGTTTGGGGCAGGGGAAAATATACTTGGAGGGTTCCCCTAGAGACGAGCCTGATCTGCTTCTCCTTGATCACTTATCCCCTGGAACAGAACAGCCCCGGAGAAGTCAGGAATGCGCAATGATAACTTTGTCACGAAGTCTATGCTGCTCGCACTAAAACAGGATGTCACCTAAAACAATAACTTCCAACATTTGTCCTTGGCATAGCCCGGCAGCCACCCAAGCGCAAAGAGACCGGCGAAGAGCATCGTCAGCAAGGTACTGCCGACCAGGCTGGCCAAGCCGTTCCTGCATCCCCCTCATCTCTCCCCAGGTTGTGGAAAACAGCCCTTTCTGTGATACGGTCGTTCCCATGAGTGCTGCACTCGGTATCACAGAAACCGGTCCTACCGAAGTGTCATAGGAGCCCCTTGGTTGGGTTCCTTTGGTTACTACCCCCCCATTGCGACATCTCCGATGAATCGCTTTTTGACCCAACCCAACTTTAGCACATGAAAGGTTCATGGGATCTGATGGCAAGTTGAAAAACAGGCTCTCTACCTCGAAGAAACAAACATCCAGTAGTGATAGATTCCCTTTAAAACCAACAGGGGGAAAACACACATATTCTTAAGCAAATGGAAGCTTGCAAGGGAAGTGCAAGGCACTTCAAGGCGGGCGGGTTTGGTCTGAGGCGCTTCGCGACCAGCAGCGTGAGAGCCTTCTTCCAGGGACTGCCCTGCCAGGAGTGGGACCAGAACTCCTGGATCTGAGTCACTGGCACGCTTGCCTGGCGCCCAGTGAAGTGAGGCGGCCACAGGTTGGCCCTTTCCGGGGAGGGGGGCTGAACCAAACTTTGTGGTTTCAGACTTTAAAGACTTTGCCTTTGACCAGCCGAGAAAGTCAAGGGAGCTGCTTCCAAAAAAGGGTTTCTTGACTTTCAAGCATCAGAAAAAAATAGTTCCCCAACGGGCACCGGGTTCCAAATCCGCCGCCTAACCTGGTGAGCTGCCTGGGATCGTCGCGTAGCTCGGGGAGCAGAACCCGAGCAAACGGGTTCCATGATGACAAGGGGATGAAGTGCTCAGTGCGCGCCCAAGGTGGAACCGATGAAGGCGGCCAAAAAGGCTTGTGCTCAGGTGTGCTCAACCAAACAGCTTGGCCCATTTAATACTTGGGCCGGGCTTGCCCAGTGTGTCTCAAACATAACGCCACTTCGGCAAGGACAAAGTCATTTCAGCCGCCCAAGCTGTAAGCACAAACGTGCCTGGACCCCTGGGTCTGTTGAACCAAACACCAAGAGTTGCGACAGAAGAAAAGAGAGCCCTCATGAGCCCGCATTCACGGCTGTGTCGTCCGAGAAAGTTTAATCCAAGTTCACAATGTGTCACACTGCGTACGGCGTCTATTCTCCGATCATGTCGTGATTCTAAACAGTTTGTTTTTGCTGTATCATCTCAAACGTGCTGCGTCGCGGCAAATCTCTTGCCAAATTCATTTCTTGCCGGCAACAACTCTGATTTGCGGTCCCCGACCCCATTTGCTCAAAGTAGGTGCCCCCCATACGCGACGGGAGGATTCAAAGCCATGGGCTTGCTTTGAAACCTACCAAAAAACCTTGGATTCATCCGATGCCTCGTAGAGGCCTGCCACGTACGAGGCGCCTAAGCGAAGGGATCATGTGGCTAGCGCAAACCCCCTTTCTGTGCTGTAAAAGAAGCTGCGTAACTCTGAAGAACCTCCTTTTCTACTTTTGGTAGGTCATTGGAGAAAACCGTTTGAGTCAGGGTAGCATAGAAATCATTTCGGACTTTGGGGTCATGGGCAAACCTGGGCCCCCTTTGGGCTTTGGAAATCCGCACAAACAAACCCTTTACCAAAGCATGTCCAATGCTTCCTGTTGGCCAAGTTCAGGTTGGCCCCTCTCTCAAAACTCTTAAACTAAAATTGACCCAGAATGGGACATCCGGCAATAGGGGTTCCACCTTGAAGGAGCCAAGAGACTGCAACAAACGGGGATGAGGCTGAAAAGGTCAAGTTGATCTCCCTGTTGCTGTGGCCATGCCATGTGACTGGGGGGTGGGATTCCCCTTTCCACCATTCGGGTAAGTTGCTTTCGGGCAGGGCTGCGTGGCTGCACATGCGTTGGCCAAAACGCGCTTTGAAAGGAAGCCTAAGTTTTCTAGAGCCATTCAGCTTTCAGGGACCCGGTGACTCTCGGGCTCAAAGCTCCGCCCCAACGGCTAAGAGACTCTTGGACAGACAGCTTTTAGAGACGCGTCAATGTGGAACAGGGAATTCTCCGAAACTAGTAAGTGAGATTCGGCTTGTTAATGCAGAGTTGTTTAACTCGCATTCAGGCACCAATGTGCCGGTTAACAAGTGGCCCCACTTGGAAGTGAGGCTTGATGCAACCACCTGTTTAGACATGTCTCAACCAATCCCCTCTTGCTTAAAGAGGTGATCTCATTCAGGTGCGCTTCTTTCAAGGATTCGCGGTAGCTAGTTTCTTTGATCGTGCAACCCACCTCTCTCAGAAGGGGACCCAAGCTTTGGCACATTGACCAAGGATTTCCCAAGAAACCGGATGGAAACATGCGTAAGAACACGCCTTGAACTGCGAGCCCCGTTTGCTCAGGGTCAGACAGCTAACGAGCAAGGTGATTCCCACCTTTTGGGCACCCCCTTTTCCGCGTGACCACTTGCCCCCCGCCCGAGATGTGTTGGCGGCGAGTAGGCAAGAGCCCCGTAAAACATCGAAACCCGAAACCCGAAACCCTACAGTCAAAGCCGAACAATCCATGAGCAACGCTCGGACTTTCCACTTGAACCCTGAAACGTGAGTGACACATTCTAACCACAACCTCTACCCCCCAAAAAAAGAAACAACTGACCACCCAGCCCAAAACAAGTTGAACACACTTTTGCTCTCAGACACCCAGCAACAAAACTGCGCTTGAAGTAACCAAACATGGATGTGGAACATGGCCTTTCTTTGATACCAACATGGGGTGCCACGATGAATTCCTTTTTGGTGGCCCAAAGCTTTCGCACCCAGGTGCTGCCCAGGATGGACCATGCCCGCGCCAGCACCCACCGCGCTGGCACAGCCCGCAGGAGCTCCGGGCGCGTCACCTCGCGTCCATTGGAAGCTTCGTGGTCTGCGTTTCGGGTGCGGTTTTGACTCTAGCTAGGTCCTCCAGATTTGAGAGGTGAGAATAAGGTACCTGATGCTTTTTCTGTTTTGTCGATTTTAGTAGGGGAACCCTCCCCCAAAAAAGAAATGGTGAAAGGGCACTACTGGGGGACCTAGCTAGTTTAAAGGGAAACCATGGGCAATTCTCAGAAATCTGTGGGTAACTCCGAATTTGACACATACACAATATCCAAAGAATCTACCAAACTGATCAGATCGGATCGCCTTGCCTTTTGCGTGACCAATTATACACGGGTTTTAACTAGAATGCTTCGATGCTACACTAACGATTGTCATTTGGACCAAGCAATGAAACCTTTCGGTGGAACGTGTTGAACGGAGCATCAGCCTTTCAATGTCCCATCTCCCAAACGACAAAACATCATGGACTATGACCGAACATCAGATGAGAACTGCCGGACTAAAAAAGTCCAGAATTTCCACTCTCCAACAACCAACATGGCGCTTCTGCAAAATGGTATGCCCGGAGTCTTACGTTAAACTTTGAGGAGCAAAAGAAGACTCCATGCTAGTGTTTCCTCACGCTTTCAACATGCCAAACCTGGCTTGCGGAAACTGTTTGGCATTGTTTGGCTTCCTCTGCGTCTCTTCAAGGTTGACTTGTTGTTGTACACCCTGGGGATTGCAATCCCATCGGGAGCTAGGCTAACCCCAACCTGGCCGCCATCGCCAGATACCAGGCTACCGTGTTTTTTGCAATTCGGGCTACGCCCCCAAGGTGTACCACAACTATGATTAGGAGAATTTAGGAGATCTTCAGAGTATGCGGGCCTCGTGAGCAGGATCGTAAAGAACAATTGCTTTCTTTCAAAACACTTCACAGACGAAGCTCTGTCAACTTGGACTTCACTTGCTCTCACGTAATCATCTAGTTGTAGGATGTGGACCAGGTTGCGTGGCCACGAACGGCGATCGGATTTGAGCTACCGAAACCCAAAAAAGGGGACGGTGTGAATGGCTCTCGGTAGGGAAAGCTATGAACCACCCCTTGTGGTCATTTGTGGTTCTTCTGTGAAGTCCCCATGTTCATTGCCAAAACCACTGTTGCTTCCCTACTGAGAAACCAGCAAGTGAACCTGGTTGGGGAACGGCCCAGGTTCATGTTGGCTTGGTGGAAGGTATTGGGTTATCAAACCTTTCGACCCGACTGAAAGCACGGGGCTCCCCCGGAACAACGCTTCCAAGTGGCCGGAGAGATAGCTTTTCAGCCGCGACAAAAACAAGGTGGCCGGCTCTAGAAGTTTGGATGGAGGTATGATTTATGATTCCGGGGTCTAGTTCGGGGTGTGGTTCATGCTGGGCAAAATGATTTCCATATATGACACTTCTCCTGCAATCCTTGCACACCAGCGGGCAGCACAACGCAAACCGCACCAAGAAGCAACAAGCTGCACAGATATGAGCCCTCGCGTCTCGAGCTCCAAGTGCTCAGCCAGTGCTGGCGCCAGCGACGGCAGTCCAACAGGCCCCGGACGGCTCAGTGAGCTTAACACGCCCCTCACCAAACCTGCCCGGCCTCAATGCTGCATGTCCTTTCGCAAACGCTCGAATAAGTTTCAATGCTTCTCCCTACCCACGGCGCCTCGAACATTCAGCGAGTGAGTAGAAAGATACAGGTGCTTTGGCAGCACTAGCTATTTCCAGCGCTCTGGTCAAAGCCTTTCAGCTTCCTTAGGGCATTGGCGCTAGCGTGGCTTTTCGCGTCCGGGGTGCCAACCTGGTCTCTGACTTCCGGCAGTCTCGACAGCTTCTTGCGATGCGATGCTCTTCGCGTTTCTTCTCCGTGGCCATGGGACCATTGGCCCTCAGTCCAGGCGCCACTCGAAAGATACAACTTGTCCCAGGACTTCGAGTCATTCCTTCCCTGCCTATGACGGCGATCGCGTCCGAGATGAGCCAGCGCAGGAACATGCAAAAACATGTGAGAAAGCCTTCTTTTTGGGGCGGGGATTATTCAAGGGCATGGTTCAGGAAATGGTTCAAGACAAGTTGCCCCTCCACCCGGTACTAAAGGCTGAGCACCTTAAACTTTCGCAGGGACCCTGCATTTCCACCAGAAAAAAAAAAAAAAAACACATGTTGAAAGGCCAAACCCTGAGTGAGAGTTCACTTCACCTCAAGCAAATTGATAGATGTAACTTAATTATCATTTCAGGAGAGTGAAATTGATACCCTTCCTGCCCAAAACAGGCGCGGACCCTGCTGTTTGCCGAGGCCCGGTTTGGGGCCCTATTCCCGGAGTTTGAGGGACGCGTCCGGCAATCGGAAGTGCCACTTTGGGGGAAACCAAAAGGCCCAAGGCAACTGAAGGCCTTTGAGTTGCTTAGGGAAAGCAACAGAACAATGCGCTCCCTTGGCCCCACCTGCATGTTGGTGAGAAAGGCCATGGCCATCGCCCAAATCTCAGGCTCATTGGCTGGAGCCTCGCAGCCAATAGGGGGCAGTGTGTGTGTGTGTGTCACTTCCCGAGAAATTGAAACAACTTTTCGGTTACCACCCAACTTATTGATTAAAATCGTGCGGGTGCTTCCAAATAGGCCTGTAAAAGGTGGCTCTCCGGCCTGCGGTTGGCTTCCCCATGTCCGTATCAATGTTACGACACACGCCATTTGAATCTTTGGTGCTCTGAAAACCATGTGTGGATTTGGCTTCCCTTCAGCGCCACTCAACAACAGGTCTTCTGGTTGCCAAACCGATCTACAATTTCCAGTCACAACCTTTTTTTACGGGCACTTTCCAGCATATCCTCCTAGGAAGGTGGGGTCTGGAAAAAGGTAGAACAATCATCTCTTGAATGACTCACGTCCAAGGATGTGGAACTTCAGAGTCGCTGCTCAATACAAAGCTGGGCAAAGGAACATGTCGTCATGTGGGAGTGGGTCGAAAATGGGTACCCAAAATGAAACCCTGGCAAATGGAAACAAGGACTAAAACCTGCGGTCCAATTCCTGGGGGTTTAATTTTGACCCATACCCATATTCCCTAGCAAACCGTCGGCTTCATGGGATCAGCACGAGAGACCTTCCTGGGGCAAGACAGAAAGGGTGACAGGTCAAAGCGCCCAAAGCACGCCATCAGACCCTGACGGCCGCCTGTGTCTCCAAGGTCTCCTGGACGTCCCGACCGCGGTCCTTACCCGAAAGCCAGAGGGGGGGGAAATGGACTTGCCCACGTTTTGGTGCTTGAGTTCAAAGGAGAACCCACTCCAGAAAATGAAGAGATACTACTTTTTGAAGGAAACCACGCTAGAATTTGAACACTTTTGTTGGTAAACTTTGAAGGAACGCCAACAAAAACGGCCAGGGCTGATCAGTCAGAAGCGTCTGTCGGCACGTCGGCGTCCACATCGAAGTCGTCCATGGCACATTATCACCGGACGGATCGCGCACCGACGGATTTGAGGCTAGCGGATGAATCAAAAGGCGGGTGTGGGTCAACAAACAGGGTAACCCCAAAATGGCTTGCCCTGGCAAATGGAAAAGACTAAATCCTGCGGTCCAATTCCTGGTGGTTTAATTTTGTCAGGCCATGGAATGGCTTGGCTTGGGACTCTTTGCATCGTTACATCTTTCAGCAGATCTTTCGGAGAATTTGTCGGAACGTGGGGCCCCTGATCTGGGTCCCGTGGTACCGGCACCTCGATACATTCAAAGGAGTTCCCTCCCTACCCACAGCGAAATCCCAATCCTCAAGACCTCAACAAGTTTATCAAAACTTGGATTCGGTCTTCAAGAGTAGTCCGAAATGCGAGGATCGGGCTGAGCCCATTTGTTGGATCTTATTCAAAAATTGAGGGTCATATTTGAATCTCACTCTGGCAAAAAGGGCGCAGGTTCTTTCACTTTTCTTAGCTGGGTGTTGAGCAGGGCTGGCATGGAGATGTCGAGAGGTTCATCCCCGAAACCCGCCATGGGACCACGTGAACGTTTGGGGGGCGGGGGCGGTTTCATAAACCTCGACTCCCTACGCCTCAAAATGGCTTTTCCAGCTTCTTGTGGTATCCAAATTATGCGTAACCCCTGGGTGGAGACTGTTGCCAGGTTTCGGGATCTATGATCAGCAAACGGACCGGACCCGCTGACAAACCAGCAGCACTTGCTCAAAGGATCTGAACAGTTCAAACAGCTCTGCTTGGAACCTTGAAGAAACACAATTCGGGGGCGAAACCGTTTCAAATAAAGGAACACCCACTTGCAAAAGAAAACCGGTTGCCAGGAGTCACAATGAAAACCTGCTACCGCAAGAGGTCTACCCCAAACCTGCAAAGAATCCACAAAAAGCTGCGCCTATGTCAGGACCGTTGTTTTTTTGTTTGGGGGAAGGCTGTGTCGCCGGGAAACCAACCAAAAGCTGCCTGTTTTGGGGCTCCCAAGGAGGCAAACGGTTGGGCGTCTTTTCCAGGAGCTTTCCACCTGCCAGCTCCTAGCTCAATGAGCAGAGTCGCCATAACATGGACGCGGACAATACGGAGACCTTCGGCTAACATCAATTGAAGCTTAGAGGTACCCGCGCTCCCGCAGGTGGACACTGTGCCCCTGAAGTTACGGTTCCTTGACAGGTGGTCCCCATGGAAGAACATTTTCAAAAGCCAAGTGGATGGGTCCATATGAACCTATCGATCACACCTGAGGTTCATATTAACGCATAGAAGACTGCCTCTGACCCCCAAATAGCCATGCACTACCAGAGATAATGTCCGCTGATCCATGGCACACGCACTGGATGCCTTTACAAGGCCCCCAGGATGGATCTACAATGGGGACTGCGCACTGGCAAGCGCCATGGCGCCTGACATGAGCTTACCTCAAAATTGGACAAAACAAACAGCTTGGCGATGCTGCACGCTCTTCCGTGCAAATTAGATGTGAAGGAAACGCAGCTGTTGGCCCGTCACCATGCACACCAGCTGCACGTTCCACAGGCCAACATGTGTCCAACTCTGCGAAGCTCCCTGGGGGAGCCTTGCAGCGTAACTTGCATTGAAAACAAGCATGTCTGCTCACTTTTATAAGTGAGTTGGAGCTGTTTGGATGAGCCGCATCTGTAGAAGGATTTGCATAAGGTGCACAAAAAGCGTCCACCAGTGACTGCTTCCATTTGTCATGTTTGGACTTGAACAAGTTGGCCGTTGGGCGAAGAACAGGGGCCCCTGAATGCCGTTCTATATCCATTCGCTGGCGAGAACTGCTCACCTGACTGGCTCGCACCAAAAAGTGCCAACTCGCAGATTCTCAAAAACAAAAACATGCGCGGAATGGAGAGCGTGAACCCCCTCGCCGGGCCATGAATCCCATTGGGATCTGCGGGCTTTTGAAACCCAACCGGGCTCACCACGCGGAGCAAACTTGCGATCTGGAAAAATGTTTCTCATTCAGCGTCTTGAAATCAGGGCTTTTTGTAGCAGTCCTGGGTTTGGGCCTGTGGCAGGCTCCGCATGTCCAGAAAGAGAGGTTGGCGAAAATTGTCGGCTTTTCGGGCGTCACTTCTCAGAACTGGCTGGGTTGATCACGACGGGCTTCCTCCTGCATTGGCTGCCGAAGGTGAGCGCTGTCACGATGGCCATCAGCACCTTGCGGGAAAAAAAAGAGAAGACTGGCGCAAAAGGTCAGCCCAAAAGCCCAGCAAGTGTTGCATCCAAACGAAAACGAGGAATCGCCGCCAATCTGCGGGAGAGGCATAATGAGGAGTGTCTGCCTAAATAAGCTCTGGAGTCATCGTCTGGGCCAGTGTTTGTCTCTTCCCTGGCGGATCCCACAAGGAGCCCGCAGTCGATGAGAATTTCCAAGTAAACACCCGGAGCCCGCCAGGCACTTTCGCGCGCTGTTCATGCTTCTTGGCGTGTTCACGCCCACTAAGCAAGTAATGTGAGTACCACGGAAGCTCTTTCGCTTTCTTCCTGAACATTGCTCCCAAAAGGGAGACTTCTATTCGGTCTGCTGGAACGGTTCAATTGAATTCATAAGGTTTTGGATGATGATCAACTTACCATCTTTTTTTAAGAGTTCTCCGCTCGTGAACTCCGAGGCGCAAGAAGAATGACCTGCCCCAGCACCTTGTCCTCCACCAACGCGGACACAGCCCTGGTCACCCCGAAGAAAGCCAGAAAAAGAGTCGACATGGCCAACATAATGGCGAGATTCACAAGGACCTCCTTCCACTTCCTCAGATTCGAGCGCGAGCTGGTTCCTCAGGTGTTGGTGTGGTCCAAGCGAGCAGTTCAATTAAAAGCAGTGGCTTAGGACAATATTTGGAAACATGGAAAATGAAACCAGTTGTTTTGGAATGTTCATGGTTTCGAATCAACCAAGGATTGGTACTTCCCAAAAACACAAAGAACCTCCTTGCTGGATGCCTCAGAGAAGGGAGACCAAAATTAAACCGCCATAAGCACTATGTCGGCATGTGCTGTACAGGAAGGCTATGTTGAGATGCGCCGCGGCTCCGCTGTTTCTTTCGGGGGCCAAGTAGGTGGTCAAAAGGCTGCACACAAAGCATCCACCCAACCAGCCTGTTTCGGCAGTGCAGCAACGTAACACATGGTAAAACCCCAATAGATGGCTTGTTTGACTTAAAACAACTGGTCTTCCCTTGAGAGGAGCTTGTAACCACCTTTTGTGGGGTGTCAGAAGGAAAACCGGACCTCCAGTACCTGCAGTCCAGCTTGTACAGGTGGGTGCATGGCTTCTGTTCAGAGTACAGCCGTTGACAACCGTGGAGAGATCACATTCTCAATCAAAGCAAACTTGGTTCAGCATTTGGAGAGTTGTCAAAAATGGTCTCTTTTGGGACCTACCTTTTAAGGGATGCCAAAAACTACCCCCCACTTGGGCAACTTTGACTCTGACTCACGAGACCACCGATCACGCATTGAACCCAATGCCAAAGCCCAGCAGCACCAAGCCACCATATGCCGTGTGGACCCACATGGAGTTCAAGCGGGCTGCCGCAATTTTTCAGCATTCATTCTGGTGCGTTGCCCATACGGTTCCCTCTACACTGAATGTTGGAATGTGTATAATGTATTTCTTCCTCACCATGGGGCATGGCCAAACGTGCCAAACACTTCTTTTTGGGACGGTGCCTTGCGGCCATTCGGACAGCTGAGTGTCGCGTTGGACTTCTTGTGGCATCCTCAGCAGCGCGAGAGACAATCTGACTCCCATCTCTCTGCTCTAGTCATGGTTGCGGAGCATGACCAAGGTGGGCCGTTCCCAAGGCTCTTTCAAGGGATGCCTTGCTATCACAGAAAGTGGCCCTAAAGCCCTGTTTGCCACAACCATGTTGCTAGTAGCGAGCCCAAAGAACAACAAGCAAGCAAGACACACAGGGTGCCATGATGCACACGACCGGTGCAACGTCGAATGACTTTGGCAGTAGTATTCGAAAAGCCCAGTAGTTGTTCTGCTTTGCTTCCATACTCCCCAGCATGAAACCGGCTGGCCAATGCCAAAAACACACATCTCAACAGGCACACACACACACACACGTACAACAAGCAGAACAAGAAGCACAGCAGAAAAGAACACAACACATTCCAACCCGCGCACACGCTGAACAAAGAGCACAACATTCAAAAGAACACCCAAAACAAACTTCAAACTACCCCCTGCACAAATATACAAAGAAAGACACAACTTGGTCGATTCCAATGCCAAGCATCTTTGAATCAAGGTCATCCAGAAGACGAATAAGCAGGGCATGCTGCAGAGCCACCAATTGGCCTTACAGCCAAAAGCCACACGAGGCTTCCGGTGCAAAATACGGTTTGCCAGTTCTTGACTGCGGCTAAGTCTACCCCATATATACATAGACATACATATATATATATATATATATATGTATATCTATACATACACACATCCCATTCTATCTTTTTAGCCACTATATTGGTTCCTATTTTAAGAAAGCTGCCTTCATTTGGGAGGTTTGCCTTTGTTTCCCTACACTCCTAGACCTGCTTCCCTAAGCAGGCAAACAGGGCAAACCACAAATTCAGTTGCCGCTTTGTTGAGCCTGTGGATCTGTTTTGGGTTCTGGCGTGCCGTGGTCTCTCTTGCGGCCCGCAGTCATGGCGCTCGCAGGAAGAATCCGCAAGCATCCTCGTGCTTCAGGTGCTACTCAAAAGTCATATGCTTTCCAGTCATGACCAATTCCCTTTGAAACCAACAGAGAACAATATAAACGAGTCACGTTCCTATGGGCCAGCTGAAAAATAAGGGACCCGTTTTGAAGGCAAAAAAACAACAACAGGAAACCAACCACCAGCAGCATTCCAATGTTTCCACATCCCTTGGGCAGGTTTGGGCAAGTCGTTTTGTTTGCCGGCCCAAGTCTTCACGCGCCGGCCATAGACCATGCCCGAACTGCATCTCCCTCCGCCAGTCCCTGTCGAACCTCATCAAGCTTCCCAAGCTATCTACTGAGAAATGTGACACTATAGTACGAAGCAAATACCCAAACTGGAACACCACAAAACTGAAAGTTAGCTTTGGGCAAATGAGCTTTTACATTTTTTTATATTTGACTTTTCGGCTCGCTAACATGGCCCAACAAAACGGGGTTGGGGAACGGCAAAGCCACCTGCGGATTGTTCTGTTTACTATAAACAGGACCCATCCAAGTGAACACCCGAAGTTGGAAGCATTGCTATGCCAAAAAGAGGCTTACAGGCCGAATTTGGTCTCAACCAAGAAACCACATCATTTTGCACGTCCCCCGTCTTTTTCTTCGTAAAACAAAAGCAACGGAGCGCGGGCCCGTCGAGTTCGCCCGATTTTTCTGCGAGGTTACTCCGTTGATGGTGAAGGACATGGACGGCTGGAAGTGTCCATAGCGAAGCTGGGCAGCCACGGCGTCCATCATCCTGGGCACCGGTTGCATGTGTCGGAACGGTCCAATTCAACTCATCTCGGGGTGTCACACAAAAATGATGAGCTTGGGAGTTTAAAGGCGAGCCTCAAATTTTCTTCAAACGGAAATCCTCATGTGCCAAACTAAAATATCTCTACAGCCTGCCTCAAAAAAAAGAGTCGCCCTCATTTTACAGGGGTTTTGGTCATGCGTGCCTCGTCCATGTGTGACATTCTCAACCCGCTCCTCTCAGGCTCGCACCACTATTGGCACCTTCCTTGGAAGCCTTGCATTTATGTGTTTGGACAAACGAACAAGCGGGGATACGGGAGCGGGGATATGGGGGGATTCCCTTGGCGCCATTTTCCCATATCAAAGTTAGGTGCAGTTAGGGGGAATCCTCTCTGTATGCCGGGTTCCCCCTGTATCCCTCCTAGTTGGTTTACCTGATGTGCCTTACTATCAAAACGACTCGTCAGCTGGGGTCTTGGCGGCAACCTGATTGTCCACTCTACAAAGCCTGGTTGCTCCTCATCTATCGCAATTCAAAAGAGCCAATGTTCGGAAAGCCGTATGTTCATGCAGAAAGTCTTTGTGTCGGCTTCGTCTGGCTTTCGTCTCACGACCTGCCAGTGCCCCGTAAAAGCCTTCGTGTTTTCAGGTTCGCCTTTGATCTTCAGGGGTGTCACCCTACTCCACTCCAATATCCCCTACTCTTTAAAACAAGTAGGCCGACTTTTCGCAAACCCACACGAGAAGAGCAAAATGGTCGAAGTGTCGGCTTCATCGCTTAGAGGTTGAGGAAGGGACTGAAGTTGTCGCGAGAGGGGCTGAAGTTTGTGACAGTTGCAGTCGTGTTTCCCATACCGATTCATATGTCCCCAAGGCACGTGGAATCTTCCAGCAAATTTGCCAATCGTTCACCCCCAAGCCCAAGCGCCAAAGCAAGCCCGCTGTTCAAAGCAACCAACAAAATCAGTCTCGAACCCCAAGAGCGGGACCACATCGCGTCACTTGAGAACAAGACAATGTGTATACATATATATATATATATATTTATATTAATACGTCATGCGTACTTCGGCGGGGATCACCTTGAAGTCATCTTAGAGTTACTTGGGTGTGGGTGGGGTAGGGCTTGGGAGCATAAACAGGTTCTAGAAGTGAACAGGGATCACATCCGGACTTCCTCTATTGGAATAATCATTCCTGTCACTACTTGGCAGTGTGTTTGAAAAAGGATACTCGAAAGGGAAACCAACCGGGAAACCACCCATTTTTAGGCTCCCTCTATTGTAATAAACACATTCCCTCTTGGTCCTGATTCCGACCCCACAATTTCCTGCTCTTTGACCTTGTTTTTCAATCAAAACACTCGAATTTGAGGCCGTCTTTGTTGAGGGCACCCTTTGCGGGGCTGTTTTTTTTCAAGGTTTCTACGGGGCGATTCGGTCAGACCAAAGACCGGCCCTTCAATCAATGCCGTTCATGCGGCCGGCGGCTCTCCGCTTTCCGCTTTCTCCAAATCTCGTGGCAGCGTTTTCACGCGTCTCTCACAAGTCTCTCACTAAAAGAGTCAAAGACTTCTTCGTATACTGCAAGAAAAAACATCGGGCCGTCTCCGAAAGTTTCTCCCAGGGAAGCAAGGGAAAGCGGCACTTCCAACCGTCCAAGACTCCCCCAGGCGATGGGGGCGAAAGAGCCTACCAGCCACAGGTAGGGGAAGGCCCTCATGCCCTCGAGCCGCTGCAACACGCTGTGCATCACCTGCGACCGACGACTTGGAAAGCGAAAACAAAAACCCATACCGCCGAAAAAACAAAAAGTATTGGACGAATACTGGGAAACCAAAAGGGAAATCTAAAGGGAAACTAACCGGCAAAGCAAAAAACAACCAAAAAGGAAACAAAAAGAGAAACCGAGAGCGTTGAATTTTAAAGAAACGTTTATTCAATGGTGATGTCTCATGGCGTTGGAGCTCTCTGAAGTATCCACGAAATGGTGAACGGAAATCTAGTGAATTTTGAGATGCTGGGACATGTTGACCGCTTGTTTCAATGACCTGCAGGTCGTTCATGTGAAACTGGGCTGTGAAGCCCGCATGACAACGGCGCGCTGGAATACGTGCTTGAAGGTCCTTCTTTTCAAAGACGAAGCACCTTATGAAGGCTACATGAATATGATCTTAAGACTAATACACGGCTTCCAACCTTACATTTGCTGTTTGCCCCCCAGGCAACCAACGAATCACCCCTTTTGCCGTTGCCATGCTATCCTCTGTCAAAGGAATTGCAATTTTCTCAGCGGTTGGACTGGGGGGGGAGGGCGGGGTCCCTGGAACTCTGCGACTGCCCAACGTATCCAACATCTAACTTCTCTAATCTCCAACTTCTCTATCGTTTGCTTCATGCCCCGCTTAAGGGCATGGGGCATAGCCCGTACAGGGCCGCAAGCCCTAATCAAATGTCTTCCTTTCGCCCCGGCCCCAAAAGAACTCAATCAAAGTCAGCAGCAAAAGATGCTGGCAAGCAAAAACTAACAGGCAGCACCCTTGCAAATGCCTGAGCTCGGCTGCGTGGGTGCCAATCGCCGTGCCTTGTCCGCTGGCTAAAAAACCGGGCAAGGTCCTCAACAGATTTCATGAGTCTCGCACCATGCAGTGGAAAGCAGGACACATGTAATGATGAGGTTCACCAAAAGAGGGACCCTTGCAAGACCATTGTGGAAAAAGGGCCCTTGTGACCAGCCATTTGGACGCGGTCCCATACACAATCCACCTTGCTGTGTGTTTCTACGAATCACCCTGACACGGGTATTTTCGGAATACATGCTCATACATGTTCATGTTTCACAAGGGTCGGGTCCTTTTGAGCAGGCACAGCTGTTGCGTTGCGATGGAAGCCAACCATCATCTGCCAACCGGACTCAATCTTTGCAAACCTCCCTATTCATCTGTGAGGTTTACGCTGGGGTCAATGATTTTATATGTTCTTATCACTTTGCAACGTGGCCCAAGGTGAGCGCCCCCTGCCTTTTAGCCACTGGTTGGAACATTTGTCGAAGACCGTTGCCCAAATCAAGACATGAAGCGGCCAGAGGCCAACGGTGTTTCCATGAGGTCTTCCCGAAAACCGCCAAGTCGTCGGCTTCCTGTCGGTTCTTTGAAACTGTCGCCCAATGTCCGCTCGTTTTGAATCAAGACCCCCGAACCAAACCCAGCGGAACTGGTTCCAGTTCAATGCACCAACAAGCACACCAGCTTTCATGATCCCCGCGGAAGCTCCCAGCGACCAGGTGTCGTGTCTCGTTCCGGCTCGACGCTAAGGAGTTTTCATGCGGAGCCGAGCCAGTGGCTTGGAGGTGAGGTGGATAGGAACCTCAACAAGCCCCAAGCAAGAAGGCGTTCTGAACCAATCCGAAGCACTTACCTGATAGATGGCGCTGCTATAAATGTGTAGCAAGCTTCAACCTACGGGTGTTTCTCAAAACTAAGATGGCTCTTGCCCTTTTACCATGAAACACCAACCAAACGGAAACCATGTCTAAAGATTGTCGTGAAGAGCCCAAACCTCAACCACATCCCCCAAAAGACTTCCGCCGCCCTGCTTTTGGTGGTCCCCATCAAGCGATCTCGCGCGCGCGCAAGCGCGCGAGCAGTCCTGCATCTCTGCCATCAGCGCCAAGGCCAATTCCCAGTTGCCGCCCTCTTCACAGGCGCTCACAGCAGAGTTGTAGGTCAGCCTCACTGAAATTGAGCTTGCGAAAAGAAAATGGGGCAAAAACCGATCCCAGTTTGCTTGGCAACGAAGGTTTTCGTGTTCAAACACACCCACCTCATGGCTGGCCCCGCAGCCAGCAAATCTGATGCGTGAAGGATTGCGGGGTCAGCATACTCCTCACTTGCGTGTTCGACAAGCTGATCAAACAGGTCGTGCTCTTCTTCAACGCTATGGCGCTATGGCTTCTGCCCACCCGTGAGAGAAATGGGAACTAGAACATCTTTTGGACTGATCAACGGTTTCCTGCCCGTTCCAGGCTTAACGACCTGAACTTCTGACGGCCTGCATGTCCGTCATCTTTATGCAGTGACAAGCCAAGGAGCCGCTTCAGAATGATGTACCTGAAAACAAAGCAACAAGTCCCCCAGGAGGCTCCCTGCAGATGTTCGTGGCAGTAGAATGGGGCTGGGGCCCCGGGCAAATTCCCTTGCAATGTCTCACGCAGCTGCGAGTGCATCAAAAGCGCCTGCTCCCAGCTATCGCTCCTCACGCACCTCAGTCGTAATCTTGGGCCACGTTGATCTTGAACTTGTGGCAGCTAAACTGCACGTCAATTCACCGCCCACAAGAACAACAAAAGGCCAACCTGTTCTGGATCGGTCGCTTAAAAAGATCCAACACGGGCATGTGTGTGTGTGGACATGCATGCGCATGTGCATGTGCATGTGTGTGTGTAAGTGAAAGCATGTGTGTGTGTGCTTCTCTTTGGAGGAACCCTTTTCAGGTTGGTTGAGTCAGGGGCACCAACAAGAAAACCACTACCCGCCGGGACCTAAACGTGGCGCCAGCAATCCAATGCATTGGTACGTCATGTCCTCGCTTTTCTGCAGATCAAAACGAAGCACTGGACCAAAAAGAAGCACACGTACAAAATAACCTTAACAAAGACTTGGAGATAAAACCTTTAGTCTGTCTCTTGAATCACAGGAAGTGACACCGGCAAGCTGGACGCATCAAAACCTGCAATCCAGCTTTCAATCATTCACAACTGTCTTGATTACAACTCCAAGTTCCCAACGCCGCCTCGCATTGCCAAGCTTAACACAAATGGGCTTGCGGCATGAGAGCATGGATCTGGGAAATTGCATGGCTCAAATCCAAAGTCCATGTGTCATCCAGTGTCTGCTCTGGATGCACCGATCCACAGAGGCAAAGGGGCAATCATTGGTGTCAACGAAGTGGTATCAAGAGCTTCTAAGACTGCTGTTTGAAGCCTGGCTTGGTGAACCAAGCTCTCGACCACGAGGGGTTTCCGTTTGCACAAGGCAATGCCTTCACTGCCCTCAGGTTTTATTGGCGTTACTCAGGGTAGCTCTGAAGTTTCGCTGGCCTTGGAGTTTGCTCGGAATCAGTCTGAGAGTTGGACATGTTCCCTTTTGGTTTTTGTTGAAAGGCAAACCAAAAGGAACACAGCCATGTTGGGGGGGTACCAACTCAAAAAAGGGACAGGCCCGGTTCGCTGGTGCGCTCACGGGCTGTGGGCAGACGGGCTGGCGGTCGACTGGCGACTGGTGGGGCACTGGCCCGCGGAAAACCATCAATCGGGAACAAACAAGGAAGCAACCGGAGTTTCCATTTTCGGGGGGTTTCCGATTTCAAGACAAATGGGGGCCATGGGTTTCGGCCGCGGCGCGTCCCGAGCGCTGCCCCCAGCGCCGCCAGCGGCAGCCGCTGCCGCGCCCCCAGCGCCAGCGCCCGGGCCCAGGGCACCGCCGAGGCGAAAGCGCCCAGCGAGGCGTCGGAGGCGCGGAGGTTACGCCGCGGCAGCGACTGCCTGGGGCGACGCTTTCGCGGCGCTTGGGCCGGGAAACGTCGCTTCGGGCGGAGGAAAAGAGAACAACGTCTGAGATGTAAGGTCTGTTTTCAAAATGTTTCCCTGGCAAAAGTGAAGAACTTGTGGGTGAAGTGGAAACTTGTACTAAACCTGAAAAACCAAAAAGTTGATAGATTCCACTGGTATATGTGTCTCTGCTTTTATTGATGCTTCCTCTTAGCTTCCCTTTAAACCACCCAAGGCTACACCCTTAAAAAATGACACGCCCAAACGATGAAACGTAAGTCCATCAAGGCGCAACCAGTGCACAGCCTCTCTCCAACGTGCATGTTGCCCACACGCGGAGATGGTGGCGTTGTAAACAATGAGGTCAGGCTGCAGCGACTCCTTGTGATCGATTCTTGGCCGGCGCCCTCGTACTCTGTATACATATATGTAAATAATATTGCATGCATTCAAAACTCACATCTTTGTGAAGTGAGCGTCAGTTTTGCGCAAAACAACAAACGCATGTGCAACTCTTACCTTGGCTTCACAAAGAACGTATCGCGGCTCGTACGGAAATCCCTCCACGACTGTTCAAGTGCGAAGCATAACTTGGCGGCGCCCTTAAAGTCCCCCCGAAGAAGTAGAACTCATGGACATAGAGCCATAACGGTGCAACACGCGAGGCTGGTTTGAACATGAGTATTCTAGTGCTATTAGGAGTATTTCTGTGCACATCGGCTGCTACAACTGGAGGGATTGAAGTCCCCCCCCTAAAAAACGAAGAAGTTGACCGGGCTCCCTCGAGTTCCATGCTTTGTTTCTCACCAAACGGACGCTCATGTTGAAATGGCCTTTCCCACACCGTGGTTTTGCGAAGACACCCAAATACCAAATTCTGGCTTTGAGCGCCATCTTCAATGAACAACCGCAAAGAATGCCCATGCGCTTAGGGGTGTTCCTACAGGGGAAAGCTAACAAGACTGTGAACGGACAAAATCCAGCACCACCTAAGAAAGCCTGGTTTCTGATGATTTCCTTGAAAATACCAACAAACGTTAGAGTTTGCCATGGTTTCAAAGTGATGCGAAATGGATTCCGCAACCATCCACAGGGCTACTTTCCACGCCAAGGATTTTCCTGGAGGTGTCCCAGCAGTTGTTGCGCCACGGCCCAGGAAGCGCCGGCGACGGCGTTGCTGTGGCCCACCAGGTCCTGACGTCACGGTTGA